GACTTAAAAATACAACCAACATGATATTTGCCTTACCCCTCAGAATGTGGTCCCTGGACTTCAGGGACAGCCTGAAGGTAGGTGCAAGTCTCCCGCTCTGGACACACATTTGAACTCAGGCCTGAGCTTCCTGTGCACAGGGCAACCTGGGCCACACGAGGGACGGGAGCTGGCCGGCAGACGCTGTCCTCAGTCCTGCACACCATCTCCTGCCTTGTCTGGTCACCGCTGCTGGATCTCAGTGGGCCTGGTGTGCTGAGGATCCCTGTGGCACTGGCTCCTGGCTTGTCTGCTGCTGGGTGACTTCCAGGAGGAGCTGATACCATGCCAGGGTGTTCACTTCCCAGCCATGCAAATGTGAGAATGCACAGGTTTCCCAGGCAGCTGTCAGCTCAGCTTTATGTCAGCATCCAGTCAGCGCTGGGCTGTCCTTAGCCATCAGCCTTGGTCATTCCTGACAGGTGTCATGGAGTCCTCCAAAGGGCCTTCCCAGGAAGCTTCCTCGAGCTCAAGGTGATACGGTGCCCTCTGTTTCCCTAAGTAAGACATCCCCTGCTTTCCCTAGAAGCCTCCCGTGAACCCTCGGGAACCCGGGATGGGGCCCAGCAGATACCCAGTGGTGCCTGAGGATTAAACCACTAATTACCCTCAGCAAGGCCCAGATAGTGGCCCCAAGTCTTCACACTGATCATGCAGTCTATGAAAATTGGATTATTTGCATCAGTAGAGGCCCGAGGGAGCCACACCAGAACTCAGTGTATCAAATATTCATTATGGAAATAGACTCCTGCTGGCCCAGGGTCCCTTTGGCAGTGTGGACAGAGCTGGGGAGGGGAGATCATTAACACCTTGCAAAACCAAAACTGGGGCATTCGCCTTGGAATGGGGTGAGGGGAGTGGCAGCAAAAGATGACTGTCTTCTCAGTGGGTTTTAAATCAAGAAGCCGTTAGACCATAAACAGGTGAAATTTCAGGAACACACACAGTCGTGGTTTCTTTCTGGAGCCCCCAAAGCCTCGTGCCCTCGTAGCTGATGTGGAAGGTGGTTGGGTGAGCAGGTGCTACAGCTGGCTTGGTGGTGGGAGGCGGGGTCTGGTTGCAGGAGGCGTCACTGGGGTGTAGCCTGGAAGGTCCATCTCCTCCCTGGCCCCTCTCTTCCCTTGCTGCTTCCTGTCCACCATGCGGTGAGCAGCTCTCCACCAGGCCCCTCTGCCGTGCCTCCTGCCTTGAAGCCAGCTGATGAGGGGTGAAACACAAGCCACAGTAACCCCTCCACCCTTGTGAGTGTTGGGACAAGAAGGTGACTAAGACATATCCAAACCCCTATGATGGACAAGAGATTAAAGTCTCTCATATTACATTTGTGTTGCCCCCCACAGGGTCCAGTGTATCGTGCATGATACCAAAAAAGGGTGCTTTTATCAACAGTGGAAGTGAAATACTAAGAATTAGGATGCAATCTGCCATCAAACTGATGGTAAAAATAGCTCAAAGTAGGTTAGGCTTTTATGTTACTATAATTTGTGAAATCATGGCTATCTGCCCCTCACTGATGAGACAGAGTAAAATTTCCTTCTTACCTGATGCATTGTTTTTCGGGAGCCATGGGGTGGGGAAACAGTTACTGTCAGCTGTCCCCTAGCTTCAAAGCTTACACAGCAGCAGCAGCTTGGCCAGCCCTGTTTACACTGCTTAAAGCCAATTGAAGGGGAAAGGAAATGGTCCAGCCAGCTCTGTATGCATCAGGATATGGAGACAGGGTCAAGTTTACCCCAATGGAGAAATTGCCCTGTATTCAAGGGGAGTATCCAGGTGGCCTTCCACAGGTGCATTTAATGAAGGAGAGCAGGAGGTACGCTCTATCTTGTGACTCTTTGTCCATAACATTTTACCTTCAAGAACTTCAAATCAAGAGAAAACTACCAAAACAGAACGAAGTTCACTGGTGCACAGCTGGGATCGCTCTTTGGAATATGCGGCCACTCTGCACCCATCGAGGGCAGGACCCGGGTGGTCAGTGGGGAAGCGAGCAGACCTGGAAAACTACTGTTGCAGGAGGGCTTCTCATAGCATTCCTCCCAGGCCCGGGTGAATCCAGTTTCTGCACCTCATTTGCCTGCTGTCCTATGCTGTCCTTTCAGTGGGGACAGCTCCTCAGTTTTTGTCTTTCAGTGCATTCACATTTCTGGAGCATGCAGGTCACTGCTCCCTGGAAACCCCATGGAGGTTATGCATCTGGGGTGGAGCGGGAAGGGTGAGGGACCACCTTGCAGGGCTTTGCATTCTTGGGCTCTGATGTTGGTCTAGCCCCTCGTGGCATGGGTGACTGCAAAACACCTTGCAAAACCAAAACTGGGGCATTCGCCTTGGTTACAGTACTGTTTGCTGTACTCTCCGTGGCAGTGAAAGACCAGGCGATTTGATCAGCCCTATCCTACATTCGGATAAGTGCAACTTGCCTGTTCTACAGAAGTGTAAGGGAAGAGCTTGTCACGAACCCCCCTCAGAGCACCCCAACTTGCTTCAAACACAGCGATCCAGTGTCCTGGCCACATTCTGAAGCCACTCTGAAGCCATCTTTCCTTACCATATTTACCAATGTGATAAAAAAATGTGGTGAATGCTGCGGCCGAGCGCCATCCAACAGAGAGGGAGCACCCGAAAACCTGACAGTGTCCTCAGACACCTTATTCACCTAGTCCAGCATGATGCGATTTCCAGCTTTTTCCCAGAGTCAGAATGACCAGGAAAGGGAGGTGTTCTGAATGGACTCAAGATGTCAAGGCAGCCAGGACAGTGCAGCTAAAGATGCTCAGGAGAGAGGACTTCCAGGGCCACTGGGATACACGTGGGCAAAGCAGGCAAGGGAGAGGGCTTTGAGGGAATTCATGGCAGTGTGTGTTTCAGTGCAACAGTTTTTTTCACTGTACAACTTTGTTTACAGTTTTATACACTGTCTTAATATGAATGGAACTGCTTTTCTACTTGAGCCATTTGTAACCAAAGCAAAATAACCTAAGTAATACAAAGTATTAAAATACAGCATAAAGATACAAAAACAGACATACTAATTCTAGTTAGGAATGTAATTATGATGTTACATTTTTTATAATCCATAATTGTGTTTAGGAAATCACACAAACATAGATCACTGATTTGAATGAGATGCTTAAATTTGTAGCAAACCTTTGTAGTCATAAAAAATTACCAAAGAATGCACAAAAGTAATGTTTATTCCACCCTTGTGTCATATTCCTGGATCCTTTACCAATGTTGCATGAGGAAAAACAAAAGCAAAGCAAATGAAAACTTGAAATCAAATTCACTAATGTTATCAAGTAGGGAAACAAATAAATTAAAATCTAGCAACCATCAGCAAGAGTACAGCAAAGATAATGCTGTAAAAAGAAACAAAGAAAATTGCTAGAAAACTGCATGATACTCTTTCAAACCAGCAAATATGCTCCTCCATACAACGGAAAGTAACAAGTTTTTTCCTGTTACAGAAACACAAGCTCTTTTTTGAATAATGTGACTGGGTAAAATGTGTTTGTAATGGTACTTCTACTAAGCTATTACAGGGTGAACTAGGAACACATTTATGGATTGTGGGGATGAGGTACACTATAATACATTGATTGGGATAGTGGGTATTCTAGCAAAAAACAAAAAACAAAAAAAACCTACCAAAACGAAAAAACCCACAGAAGTAACAGAAGTACAAGACAAAAGGCGAATGAGACTTCTCTTGTATCTTAGCAACACTTAGATGGAATCAAATTTAAATGCAATCCACTCTACTTTTGAAGAGGCTTTGGTTCAGCTCCCAAATCTTGATTGCTTGATGCAGTCTCCTATGAGAATACCCAGAAGATGTCTTCTTAAACAACAAACCTATTTTTAGTGGTGGAGCTGCTCTTAGTGGCTGTGTCTGATACCCAATCACTGTCTTTGGAGGACTCCAACCTTTCCTCTCCCTGTATGTTGAACAGCCTCTCTGTTTTCACATTCAGTAGTCCATATTGCTGCCTTACCACCTTTAGCGCTAACATTAACAACAGCTCCACAAACATCATCACTGTAGTCATCAAATGATTCTCCAGAAAGGCACAGCAGTGTTCCCAGCCAAAAGTGATCTAGGTCACTTGTCGCTGCTGTTTGTTCAGTGTGATTAGCTATCATCCTCCCCGTTTGTTTTTCTCATCTTCCCACATGGGCTCAATACTGTCCTTAAAAAGTGAGTAGTCGCAGCCAGGCATTAAATTAGTAGACAACTGAATATGGTTGTATAGAGCCCAAAAGTCTTCAACAGTATCAAACTTAGAGATTAGTCAAAGGTTTGCTTGCCAAATTTTACTTTTATCATTTTTGAAAAATCAGAGTTTTTCAACAACCATCTGTTCTGAAGAGGATGTTTAATATAGTGTTCTGGGTTAGCAACCTCCTGATTAGATTCTGTTTTCTCCTCTTCTGCAGGTGGGGGATTAGGGGTAGGGATAGTTTCTGGTTCCACGGTCACTATCTTAGATCTAGCAGTTTTTGAAAATGGTAACATTCTTTGCATTTTTGATCACTCATCATCCATGAGGAAGAGACAGAAGGTTCCAGGCCAGGGAACTGAGGAAGTTGTTAAGTCTGGGATAGTGTGTGTGTGTGTGTGTGTGTGTGTGTGTGTGTGTGTGTGTGTGTTGGGAAGGCCATGGGGAGAGAGGAGGCTGGGAGTCCTGGCTGGGACCTTGTATAGTCTGTTAAGGACCCTGCTGAATGACGTCCCTGGAGCAGACAATCTCATCCTGCACATTGTCATCACCTGGGTACACAGTCAGAGACACCAGGGACTGGGCTCATCCAGTTCCTCACCCAGGGTGTCAGGCTGGGTGTGGCACTTACACATTCTTCTGTGTCCACCTCCCAGAGAACTCGCCATGAGAAATGGTGTCACATTCACAGCAAAAGCCTTTAGAAAGTAACATTTTGAAAAGATTGGTTCTATTTTGCAGGATTTTGAACTCAACAATGAACTAAAGATGAATGTGCTAAACCTGCTAGAAGAAGTTTTGCGAGACCCAGACCTGCTTCCCCAGGAGAGGAAAGCCACGGCGAACATCCTGAGGTGAGGACCACCTGTATTCACTTGTCACTGCCAGCATCCAGGCGGTGACTGCTTCCTTACCAAAGTTTGTTCCATAAGCTCTTACATTTAGGCACTGAGTAGCTGTCAGGGACATATGAGTGTCCAGGCTGGGAAAGGTGTGAGGATTGGCTGGTGCAGAGAGACTCTCCGCCAGGTCATAGTGATCCTCCCTGGGAGACTCTGTCTGCTCTGAGAGGTGACTCCAGAAAGCAGCCAACAGGGGTTAGTGCGTAGGATGAATCCTGTTTACCATCCGGATCTCTGTTACCCATCGGGTCTCGTGTGCCCAGCTGTTTGCTGAATGACCTGGTTTTAATGACACAACACATAGACGTGTCAGGCTCCTGGAAATGGACATTTAGTAGATGTCTCAGTTATTTTTGTCTCATTGTTGAGACAAAATTACAACACCCAAAATGAAGGAAGGAAAAGTTTATTTATCTCACAATTTGTGGAGGTTTTAGTCTGTAATCAGCTGGCTCCAAAGCAGGGTGGCATAGTGAAGGGCAGCAATTCAAGGTGGCAGAAGACAGCAAAATCAGGAGAGCAAGCTTCTTTACCCTAGGATACCCACCCTAGGGTAGGTGAAGCACTCACACCATCTCCAGGCCCTGTTCTCCCCCAGCATGGGGATATTTACAAAGTGAGGACCTTGACCCCCTACTGAGTTGCTTAATTAAGCTTCTAATCAAGTTGACATAATGAATCAACTATCATAGGGCATAAACAGCTGCTGTTTAGCCTGGTCCTCTACATTCTAGGATGCAAAACTGCTGAATCACTTAGTTAAACTTGTAAACTTCTCAAGTTGACACAGTGTATCAGTCATTACAGTAGACAAACAGCCCTGGAGGGCCACACTGAGCAGCCCTGATTCTGACTCTTGCAGGATGTCAAGGGCCTAAGTCTTGGTTCAGCACTCAGAGCTGTGAGGTTTCTTTGCCAGCCGGAACCTGTTTTCTCATCTGTACAGTAGGCTGGTAGTGCCTACCTCACATGGTTGTTGGGAAGACCACACAACCTGCCGTGGTGCTGTGGTCAGCACTCACAGGACAGCAGTTTTTGGGAGGAGACATAGAAGCCCTGAGAGATTTAGGAAAGAGTTTCAGTCATCGAGCTGCTACGGTCCAAGGCCACCAAGGCAGATCTTTGCCACATTCAGCTTTCCTGTTGCCCATGCAGAGAGCAGACCAACCTCAGGTCAGGGCAGCTGCTCTTGGCTCTGTTTTTCCATAACCTTTATCATTGAAGGAGGACCTTCCTGTTCATAGCTGTTTAATCACATTTCTTTTAAACTTTATTTGGTGTCTCATTGCAAATGCATGATTATGAAATTGATTGCGGGTCCTGTCATGTTTCTCACAGCCCCAAGGTCACCAGGAGGGGAGAAGCAAGTCTGTCCTCCATGGGGCTGGCCTGGGGCTAGGAGGTGGCCATGTACAAAGGGACAGTTGTGCTCCTGCCCCCTGGCAAGCACAGGTGACGCCATGCAGGGGACCAGCATACCATGTTTGCTGTTGTGTGAACTTTTGTGTCATTCTGCGATTGCAGTACATGGTACATGCAGTACGTGGAGGGCTGCTGCATGGGCACTGCTCATCCTCCTCCTTTGTGCACCCTCTGACCTTCCCCTCCTCCACCTCTTAGTCCCCTTCCCATTTGAAGAAGATCTGTCTCCCGTGTCTATGATCTGTCACTTTGCTCTTTCATTCATCTAAGCTGTAGGATTTCCACATAAGAGAAACCATGCAGATTCCTGTCACTTAATGTTATGGTCTCATGGTGCCTCCGTTTCCTATACACAATTCCTTGTGTCACTGACCTTGTGCCTCCAGACATAGGACCTGGGCTGCAACCTGAAAACCTGGGCTGAAGCAGACACTGTAGTAAGGGGTGAAAGCAGAAGCTGTCTGTGGTGAGCAGCCTGCCTCAGCCTCTCTGGTGTCCGCCTCACCGGTGAACCCACATCATCACCCGGTTTGTGCTAAATCCTCTGCTCAAAATTTCATGTCTCTAAAATACCATCTCTCCAAAGCTGTCCAACTAGCTGTCCCCCAAATTCACTCATGTAGGGACTTTTATGGACTCCTAACGTGGCTCATGTTAAAGCAGTTAACTTCCTGGGGTCAGTTGTGGTGCCCTCAGGGCACACAAAGATCACCCTGTGCCCCGAAGACTCAAGAAGACACAAGATGCCAGAACAGCGTGTACCCCAAGGATGAGGGTGGATAGGTGCAGAGGGACCTCAGGCAGGTGGGCCCCCCACCACACATGGCTGCGGGGTCCAGGTCCCTGTTGCAGCCCCAGACTCTCATGGGAAGGCTGAAGACCTTCTACTGTGGGTTTGGAGGGAGTGCAGTGTGACTCCCCCTGCCACTGGTAAATGACCTGGTGGGCGATCAGCAGAATGGGGAGGCCACGCTGGACTGCAGCCTAGGTGGCATGGGGGGCAGTGTCCTCCTGCAGAGATGGAGACCAGACCTGCTTGGAAGGGATTTTCTGGATATCAGAATGGAACTCAGGACCTTGCACTTGCCAGGCAGGCGCTTATACCGCTAAGCTGTATCTCCGGCCCCCACTGACCTGTGAAGATCATGGTTGTTCCGGTGCTGAACACAGCAGAGAATCTCATCCTTAATACTTCCTCCTCCTCCTCCTCCTCCTCCTCCTCCTCCTCCTCCTCTTCCTTTTCTTCCTTTTTTTTGGTGGAGATTAAACAGCCTTCACACTGGGTGTATCTCCAGCCCTTTTTCTTTTTCCATTTTGAGACAGGGTCTTTCTCAGTTGCTCCATTGCCCAGGCTGGGCTTGAGACTGCAATCCTCCTGCCTCAGCCTTCTGGAGTGCTCGGATTGTAGGCACACACCGCCACACCTAGCTTCATTACTTCTTGTAAAACTACTTTTTCTCCAAAGAGGCCCAGGCCAAGGAATGTAGGCAGCCTCTGAAAGCTTCAGAGGCGAAGGACACATCTCCTCTATGGGCTCAGAAATGTAGCTTGGCTGACCTGTGTTAGAATTTGGACCTCCAGAGCAGATTTAGACTCATTGCATGTTAAATCTGTGCTCATAGCTCTAGGGAACCTAAAATATTTGATCCACAGTGACCTATGCCTGTGATCTCAGCATCCCGGGAAGCTGAGGCAAGATCTCAAATTTGAACTTAGTCTGGGCAAATTAGTGAGACCTTGTCTTGAAATGAAAATAAAAAAGGTCTGGGGTTGTGACTCAGTGTGAAGGCCTTGAGTTCAAGCCCCAGTACACACACACACACACACACACACACGTGTGCACGTACTGGCCTAAATGGCGAGATATAAAATTGGATCCCCCTCAGTATGATTCTCCTGGACTCAGAACTTCCGTTGCACAGGAAATGTCCTCTCACTCTGAAGCTGGTGTCCTGGATGTTGATTTATTATCATATGATCTATGTTCATTCATCATTTATCCAGAAAACTCCAAGCTGTTTATTGACTCTGACCAATACTGCATGGGGGAGACTCAGGCAGCCAGCAGAGGGCGCTTTGTCACACAGGAAGTGCTTCCTGCTTCCAGTCTACCTAGGCCCCCAGTGGCAATGTGCAGGGAATGGGGCTGGGCTGGGCTGGGCTGGTCCTGGGCCTGTGACCATGGCCAGGACATCTTCGGGGCTCCCCAGACTCATGTTCTAGGTGGCCTGCAGGATAGTACACCTGACCCCCTTAGCCTCCTACTGATGGGGTGGCTTTGCATACAGGTGGCCCTGAAATCTAAGCCCAAGTCCAAGTCTCAGCCTCCTGCTGGGTCTCACACTGTATTTCCCACCTCAGTCAATCACCTCCCTAGTTCAGCCTGCATTACACCCCACAACCTCACTCCTCCCAGGCCCTGCCCCAGACTCCCTTCTACTGGAGGAAGCCCCTGCATTCTCCTCCCTGACAAGTGAGGATTTTCTTTTCTAGTTTTGGCCAGTGATGATAAACCTCCTGGAGCTTTCATGCATAACAAACAGCCAGCTATGGTACGTGTGCCATAGGTTCACCACCGCTGATCTAGGCTGTTTGGATTCCTTGCAGGGCGCTATCCCAAGAGGATCAGGATGACATTCACTTGCAGTTAGATGACATCATTCAGATGGTAAGTCCAGCGCCGCCTTTCACAACCAGAACTTAGGGACAGACTCCGTACTGCTCCCGATGTGCCATCTGCCTCCCAGACCTGCAGGACAGGGTGGCTGGCCCCGGTCTGCGGCCTGCATAGCCACCTCCCTGCCTCCTGTGTTGCAGACTGACTGTCCGAAGGCTGAGTGCTTCGAGAGCTTGTCGGCCATGGAGCTGGCAGAGCAGATCACGCTGCTGGACCACATCGTCTTTAGAAGCATCCCCTATGAGTGAGTATGGCAGCGCAGGCTGCCCTGGCACGGCCACTGTATCCCTAAGACAAATGTGTGTGTGGGCGCACACGTGTGTGTAGACGGGGTGTGTAATTAGTCACCCTTACTGTTATCTTATGCAGCACTGGGGATCACGTCTGGGCCTTTGCATTGAGTTGTATCCCCAGGTGAATCTGTGTTTCCCTGTACCTCAGGGTGTGAATCACTGCACGCAGCCTTCTGATCACAGAAGCCTCAACAAGAGAGGGTATGGACAACATGTTTCTTCCTCTCTCACTACAGTTTTGATTCCTGCTGGGAAGTTACCGCCTTTTTCTTTTTTTGGTGACAACAGAATTGAGCCCTGAGCCTTGTACCTGCAGAGCGAGCCTTACCGCTGAGCTCTGTCCCCAGCCAGGCCAGTGTCCCCACAAGGAGCCCAGATAATGCGCAGTGGCTCTAGGCTGCACTTGGAGAACCAGTGGTCTAGGGTGACTGCTGGACATGCTGTGGTCCTTCAGCCGCTTCCAGAGACAGTTGACCTGCAGCCCCCTGATTCCATCCGTGCCGTGTGAGGAATGCTTTAAGCTTCATGCTCAGCAGCTCTTGTCTGGGCCAGTGGTGACACTGGGGAAGACCTGTGGGAGCTAGAAATGCAGAGCTTGGCAAGGGCAGGAGTGTGACCCATGCTACCGTGGGGAGGAGGACATGGTGACAATGCAGGCTGGGGTGGACAGTGCTGGGGCTGTGTACGCAAAGCTGAAGCTTCATCAGAGAAAGAACAGATGGGCGCGAGGCTGCCCTGCAGGCTCAGTGCTCACAGACCTCGCCGCAGACATGGAAAATACTTGGGCTGTGGCTCAGTGGTGGAGTGCTTGACTGGCACGCATGAGGCCAGGTTCCATCGCTGGCCCTGTCAGGAAAAAGATTAAAATGGGAAGATGGCCCATCCGGCTGCAGTGGCTTGAAGAGCTGAGTTAGGAGCCAGTGTCCTGTCCCCTGCTGCCCCAGCATGTGGAGGGAAGGGCTTATGGCTCCTGGAGATGGAGACCAGCCAGCCTGGAGCCTTGCTGGCAGCCTGCAGTGTGGGCCCTTCTCAGGGCTCCCCCTGCTCTCCCACGTCCCATTATTTCCACCTGTGGATCTCGTACAGATCTGCGTCCCAACACCAGAAGACAAGAGTAGCAACACCATGGGCCAGAGGAACGTACCCAAGAATGCCATCAATGTGCAGGCATTGAGATGGTCACAGAGTGGCCATGCGTCAAGCTGCTCCTTTATAAACATCCACTGGGATCCCAGGAGCTGCCAGTGCCTGGGTGCTGACCCGGGATGCTGTTCTAAAGATGACCATCAGGAGGGGGCTGACTCTTGTCAGGACCGTGCTGTGACAGTGTCACCCGGAAGGTTCACTGGACCCTGGCCCTGGGCATTGTCCCAGCTCTGGGAGAACCAAATGCTCCCTGGGAGCCCCATTCCTGGTAGCAATGGGTTTTGGGGGCCCTTTGCTAAGGTTTAACATTGGAAAGTGAATGCACAGAAATAGTCTTGGTTTCTGGGTTAGTATTAAACTGAGTTAGTCCTGAGCACTTCCTTCCTGTAGATGGTTCCCAGCTTCAGAGAAGTCTTCCTAGTGATGAGTTCCACACATTTCCAGGGGAGAAAGCTGGCGAGGAACAGACCCTTGGTGCTCCACACTGTGGGGACGAATGCCACTTGAGTATCCAGAGCTGGCCCAAGGGTGGTGTCTCAGGTGGCATGAGCCATTGCCATGGTTCCTGTGGCTCTCATGGGGTTTGTGTCCTGGTCTGACCTTCCAGGGAGTTTCTTGGGCAGGGCTGGATGAAGCTGGACAAGAACGAGAGGACACCCTCCATCATGAAGACCAGCCAGCACTTCAATGATGTGAGTAGTGCAGATACCTTGGCTGGGGACCTGGGCAGGTGGCTGTGGGGTCTCTGGAATAAAGCAACTCCATGGCTGTGTTTACCCAGTGCCTGATGCACCAGTAAATGCAAATTGATGGCTCCCTAAAGCCCACAGTTCTTCCCGTTCCCAGCACCCAAAAGGCTGGTCCTGCACCCTGGCCTCAGCAGGAATAGCAGCAGTGTCATCCACGCTGCTGGCTGAAAACCTCCCCTCCTCGCCCGTCACCCTGGGGTCCAAAGGACCCTAGGTTCATGCAGAGGTGATCGGAGCTCAGCAAACAGGACAGCACCGTAGCAGGTGATTTAGCTGGGTCCACGGTGCCCACTCGTAAGTGCCAGGGCAGCTTTGTGTCTCAGAGTCCCTGAAGCCTGGGCATCCCTGTGGTGTGTGGCCTAAGGCCACATGGCCCTCATCCTCTGCTCCTATCCTGTCACCCCCCCCCCACACACACACACCCTGTCCCTTCCATATTGCAAGATGTGAGCTCCTTGTATTGGCCCAAACTAGAATTACAGGACTTAGCCTCAGGTCCCTTCAGCTGCTGGGGACAGAGTTCAAGAGGGAGCAGGTGGTTTCTTTGGTCAGTGCCTCTGGCCGGAGAGTGGATCGGCTTAGTGTTTGTCCTGCCTGAAGGACAAGTGTGTTCCCTTTCTCCATGGTAACTGGGGTTCCCAGCGTGTGGACCTACACACTGCTGTGGATCAAGAAGTGTGTGTCCCCAGAACGTGACACCTGGGTCATGAAGTACCACTTTTACAGTTTATTCCTTGATAATTGCCAGGGACTACTGCATCCAGTGTACTGATGAGCAAAATCACCTTTGTATTACAAGCTGGATCACAGGGTGCTGTTCCCAGGCTAGCAGTGAACAGTTACTGTCATTACAGATTGTCACCTCTTTAGGAAGTCGGTGTCTAAATGTAGGACACAGCCTCCAACTTCCTGCTAGGTCTGTAGGTGATTCGGGTGCTTTGCCTAAACACGTTGCCCCAGTGCCCACACACCTTCCTGGTATCTTTGGTTGTTGCAGATGAGTAACCTGGTGGCCTCCCAGATCATGAACTACGCTGACATCAGCTCCCGTGCCAGCGCCATTGAGAAGTGGGTGGCAGTGGCCGACATTTGCCGGTGCCTGCATAACTACAACGGCGTGCTAGAGATCACCTCAGCCTTAAACAGAAGCGCCATCTACCGGCTGAAGAAAACCTGGGCCAAGGTGTCCAAGCAGGTGGGCACAGGGGGCCACCTGGCCTGCTGCTCTGGGGGAGGGGGAGAGGAAGCCATGACGGGCATTACTCATTAAGGGGTTGTCAGGTCAGCAGGCACACAGTGCCAAAGCAGGGTGCCAAGCTGGGCAGTTACTTTGCTGTTGCCACTGACCCAGTGGTGCTCACATGCATTCCCAGGACATTCATTAAAACACTTGGGGGAACAGTGACCTCACCCTGGGTGGCCGTCCATCGAAAGTTGCTTCCTGATTTATTCCAGAGGGCACACTGATTTCAAGGGAACTCGGTAGCGATTGATGGAGCCATTGTTTCTGCCCCAAGAAAGGGCACAAACTGGGGCTAAAAGACCTCAGCCTTCACCCTTCTCCCTGTCATTCGTGTAGCAGATTTAAAGTTTGGTGTCATGACACAGAGGTGCAGAAATGTCACTTTCTCAGTGTTCTCCCTTGGATTCAGATTGCCCTCTCCTGTTTTCATTTAGATCATTACAAGCCAGACCTCCCTTCTTCCTCTGTCCTCTCCCTAGGCCTCCTCTGAAGTGGGGGGAGGGGTCCTCTGGGCTGCTGGGTGCCTCTTTGCCTGGGTGCCTGGCTTCCTCCCATGGTCCTTTGCTGGCTGCACATGGACACAGGAGTACACATGTGTGTGCACATTTGCCTGCCCTTCCAAGAACTCTGCCCTGTGGTAGCACTCAGGAAGCTGGGCTGACCTCGGCCCTTCCATACTCATAGATTCTGCTGCTGCTGAGCCTGGATGTATCTCATCTCCACCATGGGTTTCCCTGCCCTGGGCCATGTGTCAGTTGCTTTCTCACTGCTGAGACTCAATACCTGATGTAGTTAAAGGAGGGGAGGTTTAACTCAGCTCACAGGTTCAGTAGGTGCAGTCCATGGCCAGCTGGCTCCCAGGCAGAGACCTTGTGGTGGAAGGTGTGGCAGGACAGCTCAGTCTGTGGCAGCTGGGAAGCAGGGCAGAGGAACAGGGCCAGAGAGGAAGGGGAGACCCAAGGCCCTACCTCCACGACCCACTAGGTACCCGGGAGCCTAATCTCCTAGGCATTCCTTAGTTCAATGGGGTTGACACACCAGGCCTAAGGGTCACAGCCACCCTGGTGGGTATGTGTGATATGATAGCACGACCCCACCCTCTCAAAGGACCTAGGGAGGGATTTCTAGAATCTTCCATGCCCCACTGGTGCCAGTGGGCAGGAGATAACCTTCCCTGTTCTCTCCATTGCGCCCAGCAAGGTTGACGAGGAGCCTCAGTGTAAGGAAGAGCAGAGGGAAAGTGCCATGCAGACGGAGAATGTGTGCTCCATGCACGGATGATCCACACTTTCTGTGTTCTTGTGAGCCCTTGGGATAATCATTACTTTTTAGCTTAGGCACTTGATAGCTCACTGTGGCTTAAGTGTGCACTTGCTAATGTCTGCCGATGTTAAGCCCCTTTTCACGTGTCTACATACCCTTTATAGGTATCTTATGTGAAATGCTGCTCATGTTTTTGGCTAATCTTCAATGGGATTATTTATTTACCATTGAGTTTCAAATTCTCTTCCTTCTCCTCTTCAAATTCTTCTCCCACTTTATCCTTTTTCAAATTTATGTTATGTTTACTAAGTACTGGGAATTCAAACAGTGAGACTGCAACCAGTTCTGTTCAACTATCCAACAAAAACTTAGAAATATGGTTATCAATCCTATACACTTAAACATACATGCAGTTATCTCTATCTTCAATTATGTTGAGATTGAACAAACCCAAGCAGGCTAATATCACTCTGAACAAAGCATAAATACTATTGCTGGGTTTCATATTATGACACTCCAAGATCAGCACTGGGTACTTTAGTGTCTCTTTTTCTTCAGAGTATCTGTTCATTTCATCATGTATCACAAGATCAGTTCTCATAAACTGTTTATAGACTCTACACATGCATGAGTCTTAACATGTATTTCTATCCTTTCTACGTTAGAAGGAGAAACCAAACAAAGCAAGACAAAACAAAATATATTCCTATAAACACATGATACGAAAAAGACATATAAGAACGTTGTACAAGGAGTTCTACCATAGTTCCTGTGTGATTTCTTGTTATCTCCAACAGAATTGGCTATATCATCAGACATAGTATAATTGAATATATCAGTACATAACAGTATTAATAAAAACACAACTTTGTATGTAGTATAAAACTTCAAAAACAGGCAGTAATCAAACCAGAATGTGTATTGTAGTGAGCCTTGTCATCTTCAGTGTAGTTGCCTGTACTCTCAGACTTGATACTATCAATCATATCAGTTTTGAATAAAATCTGTCAATACCAAACAGCAATCAAACAAACCAGATTTAATTAAGGTCAGTCATGATAAGACACTATAAGTCATACAGGGCTCCAGATTAAGTTAATAGGAAATTAAAGATGATTACAGTGCTATATTCTGATGTTTTTGGGATAGCTGTATGTGCCCTCAAATCTAATTCAAGTAGACAAACTGGAACAGAATAAAATCTATCTAAGCAGAGTGGTGCAAGTAACGTGGGTTTTAAATCCTGATATACTATTAACAATATCTTCTGCCATCTTTTTTAAGACTCTCCCTCTCCTTTCACGTCCCCAGGGTATACTGTGTGTTTTTGGGTCTAACCAAGACCCTTGTTTTTAAATTGGGGGGGGGCAACCTCCTATTTACCTAAGTGGTTCTGAATCTTCTCTCTCCTGGACTTGATCTCTAATTGTATTCCTTTACCTATTAAAGTCTGTCTTTCCAACCTATCAACAAATACTGGCCTAGTTGTTCCTGTTACTCTCTGTCACATAGAGAATTGTTTTCTCATATTTGATTTTCAGTCCATGTACCCTTTTTCATGTTAACTATATTTCCTATAAATAGCATCTCAGAGGACCCTACCTCCTGATCTACTCTATGTGTGATTCTTTTCTTAAAATTTAGTGTATCAAGACCATCTATATTAGAGATTATAAACAACCTTCTCTGCCTCATTTCTACTATGCTCTTTTTTTTGCCATCAGTTTTCTGCTTATCTTCTTGATTCTGTTTTCTGCTCCATTCACTGAGGCCTCTCTGCCACTGTTCCTGGAATCCTAGTACTTTTCTCTCTCTCTAGAATGCCCTGGTGTATTCTCTGTAGAGCTGGATTGGTGGTTGCGAATTTCCCAAGTTTTTCTTTGTCTTGGAAGTATCTTATTTCTCCATTAATTTCTAGAGACAGATTCTCAGGATATATCAATCTGGGCTGGAGGTTATTTTCTTTCAGGGCTTGGAATATTTCACTCTAGGCCTCTTGGCTTGATGGTTTGTGTTAAGAAGTCTGTGACTCTGATGGGCCTTCCTTTATAGGTGATCTGTTTCTTGTCTCTAGCAGCTTTTAATATTTTGTTCTTATATTGAATTTCTGGGATCTTGATTATTATATGCCTGGGTGTAGTTCTGTTTTGGTTGTAGGTGGCTGGAGTTCTGTATGCCTCATACATCTGCATATCATTTCCTTTTCCTATGTTTGGGAAGTTTTCCTTAATTATTTCTTGACTAGCCTTTGTAGTTCCTTTTTTGTACCCCTGCTTCTTCATTCACATTCTTTATTTTCAAGTTATAGATCCTCTTGTCGTCTTCTAGCCTTTGTATTGTTACTGCTTGTTTCCTTGTTATTTTTAAAAAGTTTTTCCTTTCATAATCCCACATTGCAAACCTGTCCTCCAGTTTGGATAATCTATCCTTAGTTTCTTTCAAGCAGTTTTGCCATCTTTCCATAGAGTTTTTAATTTCCTGGTAATCTCTTTGAATCTGCTTCATGTATTCTATATTTTCTTTATATTCTTCATCAAATGGTTCTCTCCTTTGAGTTCCTCCATTCTTCCATCTGGGTCTTCTTGAGAGGTGCTTAGCATCTCTTTTATTAATCTTCTTATATCTTGCTTTACTTGGCTAAATATTTCGCTTTTGAATTCGTCTATGAGGTCCCGAAGATATTTATGTTCACTGGTGCCATGTCTGATATTGCATGTTTGCTGTCCTCATTCTCTTTTGTATTTACCCGTTTTGTGTCAATGTTCTCAGGGTGGGGACCTGGGAACTTTTTCTTGTTGCTTCCTCTTCTCATCTTTTTTGTTTCTTTCAGGAGGTCCCAGTTTCTTTCTTTGTTGGTTACAATTCTTCTGAAGCAGGCTGGCTAGGTGACCCTTCCCACTGCGCTGTGCTAGTGAGTTGCAAACAGGGGTAGTGTATGCTGGCCCCTCCCCTCTGGATCAGTCAATCTGCTGAGGCCTTCACTGTATTAGTGTGCACCGCCTCCCCTCTGGGTCAGTCAACCTGCTGAGGCCTTCACTGCGTTAGCGTGCACCACCGCCATAGGGAATTGATTTTGGATACCCTATTGGGTCTCAGCCAGCTCATGTGACCCAGGCCAAGCTCACTCCACCAATCCTGTTCGGGAAGGGAACAACTGACTGAAGTCACTGCTGCCCCTTGTACTTGCCAGTCCTGCCCGGTCCCAGAATGTCATCTGTTGGAGCCCCCTTCTCTGTGGAATGGTTTTATTCCCCTCACTCACCCCAGGTCGATGCAGGTTCCCCACTAGCTCAGCTCTCTGTTCAGCTTGCCAACCCCAAACCTCAGTGTGACTGCATTTCCAGTGAGTCGAAGTGGTGAGATTTTGGACGGCTCGGTAAGTCACCACCCCTCGGATTGGGCACTGTGATGGGAGCACTGAACCTTCAGCTGTTCAATAGTAGCACCAGGACTGTATGTTTGATTGGTTCTTCTCACTTAAATTTCTTCTTGGGACGAGAGAATTCATTTCCCTCTCTTCAGGACTTCCCATGCTGTATTATGTTGAATTCTAGGTTGAGTATCTTGGGGAGCCTCTGTAGCCTGCTGTTATCTATCTGCCATCTTTGATCCACTCCTTCCTGCTTGTCTTTTCTGTGAGGCTGGTACCATGGGATTGCCAGCTCTGCCCGAAGAATAGCTATGAGCCTTCTGTGTCGTTGGCTTGAATGACATCCTTGTCTTGAGAGGATGCAGGTTTGGTGGTGACCATGAAATAGGGATAATAGGGCAGTGTTAAATTTACTGTTTCCAGTTGTGAATGGAGCATACAAGTTGCTTGCAGTGGCCGTGGAACTGGCTTATGCCTGGCCCTCAGAGAGCCTGTGTCAGGGCCAGCACCTCCCCATGTTGCAGGGCCTGGTTGCAGATCCTCTTACTCAGACAGCACTGGTGATGCCCCCTGCATCTGATCTGAGGTTGCTGCAGAACTGGGACCAGACTGAACAGAAGACAGGAAGCACTGGGGCACTTGGAAGGCAACAGCTTCATTACGCTGGTGGGCTCTTGGGAACACAGTTCCAAATCTCCAGCTCTGATTTGAGGTTATGCAGAAACTTACATGTGTTGTAAGCAGAAAGTACAAAAGCTGATAGTAGGTTATTCTGTAATAACAGTGTTTGTCATACGTTGTTGAACAGATTTATTTCTGGCAGGTTTAGTTGGGGATTTCTTATCATATAGTAATGAAGTCAGGGGCTTGAGTGAGTAGGTAAAATCAGTGATGTCTTTGACTTAGCTTTTCCCCAGGTGATAATTCCCTGAAATAAGCTGGTACAACAGGATATGCTTACTGTTTGGGTAGTGTGGCTGGGCTATATTATCTTAAAAGTTGCAGCTGGCCTGGCACATGAAGGCCAACTGAGTCCAATAGCCCAACAGGCTGGGCCTACATATCCCGTCCTTAATGTAGTGTCAGGCTGTGAGTTCTTTAAAATTTCTTTGATAAAGTCATCCCTGGAGGTGAGCAGAAGGCCCAGGCAGCCTGTGCTCTGGAGTGCTGGTGTGGCCTGTGGCCGAGGGCTCTTGTACTTCTGCAACTGCTGGGCGCCAAAGCCGACCCTGGACCAGCACAGGCCCCAGAAGCAAGGGCTAGGCCACTCCTGAAGGTGTTCTGATCATGCTCTACAGCATGTACAACTGGCCACACCAGGTGCTCCTCAGAGAGGAGGTGGAGGCTCCAGACTGGTGGGGAGACATCAGCGTCATTTCTTAGTAAATATCAGTTCTATTTTTCTAAAATGCCGATGGTGGTAATCACAAAAGAAAGAATTCAGAGCAGAGGCATCGCTCAGTCCACACCCAGTAACCCAGTGTGCACTTGGGTGGTCTGGAGTTCAGCGCTTGAAGGGTTCCTGATGGAGATGCCTGACTCAGGACCCCATCCAGAGCCGGCAGGTTGCAGCTGGATGTGCGCTTTCCAGGTCTCCATGTATCGAGTTTTCCGCACACCACAGCAATTCTCCTCTGCATGTCTGCCTCTGCCTGGGGCTGAGTGTGTGGTTCTAGGTGCTGGTTTTCCAGGTGCTGTTTTCTCTTTCAGCATTGAAGGGCAGCCCAAGGCCCCACCCTGCACTACGGGGATCCTCACACCACGACCTCTGCTCAGTGCCGTGCTGACATTTGCCATAGTACAAGGGGACCAGCATCTTTTGGCAATTCACTACCTGGTGAGACCATGGTACTCTCATGACAAACTGAGTGTTTGCTCTCTGTTTTAGACAAAGGCTCTGATGGACAAACTTCAGAAGACTGTTTCATCCGAAGGAAGATTTAAAAATCTCAGAGAAACCCTTAAAAAGTAGGTCTAGCTTGATTTCTAAGTGATTTTAATATTTTTATAGTGTATACATGGTGACCTGTCTTCTTCATTGCTGGAAAAGAAAAGCAAACAAACAGTTTCCATCACCTGGATGTTTCGGGGTTCTCTTTTCTCTTAAAATACAGTGCATACAGTAAGCACCTTGTGTGCACTTGTGGTATGCAGTGTGTTCCAGAAGAAAAGGAAATATCTCAAAAAAATATCAAGGTAAATCAAACTATTATAGTGCAAAAGGTTTCTTGCTTCAGTATTGATGACCTAAACACAATGATTTCTTGTGATATTTTTTAATTAAATATTCCAGCCCCTGTTGATTATTGTTGATTTGGGGCCTTAGGTTTCTGGATCTCTTTTTTCTCTGTGTGTCTGTCCCTATCTCTCTCCACCCACCTGTTCTCTCACCCCATGGAATCTATTCTCCTGCATCTCTTTTCTCCTGACCACCACATGACCTAGATATACTCTGGAAAAACTCTAGTCTGGCAATGGGATGAGGGAAGGAATATTAATAATGATAAAAACAGCAACAGTAGCGATGTTAGCATGCGAGTTCATTGCTGTTTACTAAATGTCAGCCTCCATGCTAAGCGCTCGATGAGTCTTTTGTGAGTCTCACGGAACACTAAGCAGATAGCTTGCCTGGCTCCATTTTACAGATGAGAAAACTGCAGCTGCAGAGTCTTCCCAGTCGCACTGAGCAGCAGATCAAGCTGGGATCCAGCCTGTTTCTTTCTGCGTGGAAATCCTGGGCTCTTGGGGGAGACCAAGCATTTTCCTCCCCTCCAAAACAAAGCCAGCATCTCCTTTAGCCGTATAGTTAGGGTGTTAATGTCTGGTCCTCCTAAAATATCCAAGTACAACAACAGGAAACAGGTCTGCGGTAGTACAAAGCACTAACACTAAGTTTTCCACTAGTTCCTCAGGTTTGTACCTTCATGAGGTGAGGACATAGGGGTTTCCCACAGACTTGTCTTTGTTGCTTCCTCCTCACTGACACACAGTACTTGACAGCCACAACTTACAGGACAGGTTATGTTGGCTCACGGTTACATCCATGGTCTGCTGGCTCCAAGGCAGGATGGTTTGGCAGAGGGCCCAGCGGAGGAGAGCTGCTTAGGGCATGGTGGACAGGAAGCAGAGAGCAAAGAAGGAGCCAGGAGGGCTCCAGGCCATGCACACAGTGACCACCTCTGCTCACCAGGCCCTGCCTCCCAGCTGTGAGCCCCAGAATCCAATGAATTTCCAAAAACCCCATCTGTGATTGCATGAGGCTAAGGGGACAGCTAGTTACAAACCCTAACAATGTTTCTGTTCCGCAAAGCACTCTGACCACTGAGCATGTACTGCAGACAGTTCCTGCCAGCAAGTATTTTGTATTTGTCCCCACAGCATCCGGTTGGACTACACCATTGTCTCAAACACAGAGGAAAGCACGGCCATGCTTTGTATTGTATTCTGCTGGGAAATATGTTTACAGCTCTGCGTATCATGAGTATGACTTCTGCAAATGAAATACAAAGTCTTTATAGTTGAGGACTGAGGTAGCAGAGTGGCTTCCTGTGTGATCTGAGAGGAAGCTGATGAATGTGTGATGGCTGTGAGAACCTTGCTTTTTGGTCTTGCAGTTGTAACCCCCCAGCTGTTCCTTATCTCGGGATGTACTTGACAGACCTAGCGTTTATCGAAGAGGGAACACCAAACTTCACTGAAGAAGGCCTGGTCAACTTCTCCAAAATGAGGATGGTAGGTGATGACTTCATTATCCATGACTATGACCGACAGGGAAGAGGGACAGGGCGAGGTGGAGGAGATGGTGGAGAGTGGGTGTGGTGCCTGCTGCTTCCTGATTGCTGCAGGATATTTGGCGTGGACTCATTTCCTCAGCGGTCTAGGCCAGGGAAGAGGAAATAAGGCTCCAGAAAGTGTAAGACTGACCCATGGTGGACACAGGCTCAGGGCTTCTTGGTAGTTAGCCTGGGACAGGAGCCCTAAGCTTGCATCTTGCAAACCGAGGCACCGGAGCCAGCTGCCTGCGGTTCAAGATGGATGCTCGGCATTTCCCATGGTTCCCCGAAGGGTGAGCACACCAGGCCCAGGGAATGAGCAGCCCTGGAGGAGGGAACCTGGGGGAGCCCAAAGAGAATAAGGGGTGCAGTCCAGGAAATCACCTCTGCTTTGCTTGTTGTCTCTCTTGCTGGTAGATATCACACATCATCCGAGAGATACGCCAGTTCCAGCAGACCTCCTACCGCATAGACCATCAGCCAAAGGTAATGTTGTGTGTTTATGAGGCATTAGGAAAGAAGAAGAGAGGAAAGCAGTGCAGTTTAGCAGGAATACTGACAGCTGTCTCGGAGAAAGGACCATACGATAGGAATCCTGACCGCAGAAGCAGGAAGGAAGGCAGAAAGAGCACCAGCTGGTTTCCACAGTCACTGAGCTTACCCCCTAGCTTTCCTGGAAATCGCCCCCTTCTGGTGTCTCCATCTCCCCCACCCCAGTCTGCACACACAAAATGCAAGGGCAGAGCAGATGACAAATGCCCCCTCTGCAGAAAGGAAGCATTTTTTTAAGCAACTGTACTTGTGCTTCCTGGTGACAAAAACCAAACACATCAGTTACAAGAATATTAAAATATAAAATAGTAAAAAAATCTCACTGCAAAATCTAAAAGACCTATATACAGAATAGAAGACATTACAGGAAAATGAAATATTTCAAGAAACACTTAAGGTGAAACACTTGAAGATAACAATTTTCTGAAAACTGATCTAATAATCTAACGCTAATGAAAATTCCAGTTTTGTTTTGCTTTTCTATTTCAAGCCTTTCTAAAATTAATATGAAAAATCCAAAACACTTGAAATCATTAAAACAATTTTGAAAAGGAAGAAAAACTTTGGAATGCTAACATGACATTATTTTCAGAATTAATATACATTTATGACATCTATTCTTTTGGCGTCTCACACTAGAGAGACAATCCAGTGCTTAAACGTATGACTCTGATTTATTTCACTTAAGAGTATGGACTCACGTTGCATCCAATGACTTATGAAAGTCTCCACTTTATCATTTTTATGGCTGAGTAGTACTCCATTGTATAAAAATAAGCACCATATCTTTTTATCCATTCCTTGATTTATGGACATTTGAGTTGTTTCCAAGATTTTGTATTACAGATGGTGCTGCTATAAACATGTGTACAAACACATCACTGTGGCATGACATGATGATTTCAATTCTGCTGGGAAAATACCAAGAAGGGGAATAGCTGGGTCAAATGAGACCTCTAGTCCTAGTTTTTGGAGGAGTCTCCACACTGATTTCCACAGTGGTTGTACCAGTGTACACTCCCTCCAACAGTGGAGAAGGGCTCCTTTCCCCCTACAGCCCCCTTCCAGCGTTTGTAATTGGTTGGTTTCTTGATGTTAGCCATTCTTTCTGGAGTGAAATGAAATCTCAATTGCCTTGTCAGGGGAGATCTCAAAGTTCCAGAGGGGAAGGATGGAGAAACAAGAGACAGAGAGCTGAGGTCAGGTGGAGCCCTCTCCCTGAATGGGAGAAATGGAACTGCTCAGCCACTGCAGTGCATTTATTTATCCATTTGGCAGCTTGGTGTCACATGACACCTCCTTTGCCTAGCAATGGGGCTTGGTGTTCTCTAGGCTGCAGCAGCTTGTTTATGTGGCTCCCTGCAGGGCTCTTTGTTTTCCAGAGGGCTTTGCCTGGCCCCTGCACGTGTGATAGTTCCAGCTCAGCCACTCCCAGCACTCAGTGTTTTGTTTTGTTTTTAAAAATTTTTTAAATTTTATTTAAAGGAAAAAAAAAAAACAGAAAAAAGGGTACAAGTAATACAGAACTTCAAAAAACTAAACAGTAAGAAATCACTATTAACAGATTGCATATTGTTATCTTAGAAATAGTTGTTCAAGTTACAAAATTAAAGCATACAAAGTGGACATTCAAACAGTGAGACTGCAAACAGTTGTGTTCAATGATCCAACAAAAACAGTAATATGGTTATCTATCTTACACACCTAAACACACGCACATTCTTTACAGCACTTTCTTTTCCTCTCTTTTTTACAATAACAATTACACATTTTAGGTTTTATTACTCCCACAATTCCTATTACTTTTTTTGGAAGAGAATAAAACCAAATGTGACAAAACAAAGCAGAGTCAGTCAATACAAAGGATGGATGTAGTACATGATATAAAAACAGAATACAAGGTAATTAACAGTGGTTACCACAATGCCTCTTGCTACCTTAAAAAGAATTTCCTACATTATCAGGTATAATAAAATTGAACAAAACAGTACAGAACAAGACCAATAAAACCTAAACATTGGAGACATTACAGGACTTCCAAAGGAGACAATAGTCAAACCAGAATGGGCATCATAGTGAGTCTTACTGCCTTCAAAGTAGTTGCCTATGCCCTCAAACTTGATACTATCAAACAGAACAGAACAGAGTAAAATCAGTCAAAACAAGATGGTGAGAGCAATACAGGGCTTCAAATCAAGTTAATAGGAAATCAAAAAAGTTACTATAATATATCCTGCTAATTTTTAAAAATTTCTTCCCTTAATTAAAAAATAAGTAAATTTTTAAAAAGGGGGGAGATTGAGATAAAAGAGGACATAACAACCTAACAATACAGGTCATAACAGAACAATTTCAGCAACCTTGTGCTTCACCACAAGATAACCCAACTTAATATTAGTTTCCATAGTGTCTCTTTCCTTGAAATATTTAAGTATGACTTTGTATACTAGAGCATCAAACATATCAAGACAGTGTGAAACCATTCAAAAGGATGAAAGTATTACAGGGTATTTAGAACCAGCTAACAGAAAATGAACAATGGTTTTTATATTATCTCTTTGCCTATAAAAATTTTTGTTTATACTATCACATATAATAAAATCCAATAAGATACAACATGATAAAACCAATGGAGACAGAAGAATAACAGCTTTATGGGACTTCAAAACAAGACAATATTAAATCAGCACTAGCTATTATGACGTCTTTTTTTCTTCAAAATAGCTGTTCATATCATCACAGAAAATAAAATCAAATAGCCCAGAATAAAACCATTCAATTAATGAGTGAAAACTTTATAAGCCTTCAAAGCCATATAATGGGGAATCATGATTACCACATACTTTTATGTATTTATATCATTTCTTATACTAGGGAAACTATTCAGTATTCATACATGTGAGTTTGATTTATTTCACTTAAGAGTATGGTCTCAAGGTGTGCCCATTTATTTATAAATATCTCAATGTAATCCTTCTTTATCGCTGAGTAGTACTCCATTATATAAAAATACCACAACTTTTTGTCCATTCCTCAATTGATGGACACTTGGGTTGTTTCCAAGATCTGGTTATTACAAATTGTGCTGCTATAAACATGGGTGCACATATATCACTGTGGTATGATGCTTTCAGTTCTTCTGGGAATATGCCTAGAAGTGGAATAGCTGGAACAAATGGGGCTTCCAATCCCAGCTTTTTGAGAAATCTCCAGACTGACCTCCACAATAGTTGCACCAGTCTACACTCCCACTAGCAGTGTAGGAGAGTTCCTTTTCCCCCACAGCCTCTCCAGCATTTGTTAATAACTGGGATTACCTCTTATTAAAAAGTTTCTGCATGTCAAATAAATCTCCAGCATAGTGAAAAGAAAATCCACAAACTGGGAAAAAATCTTAGTGAACTCTCCCTCAGACAAAGGACTTCTGTCTAAAACATAAAGAATTAAAAAAAATCAGACCCCCAAAATTCAAAGATCCAGTCCAAAAATGGGCATCTGAGATCAATACACAATTCTCAGATGAAGAAATACAAATGGCAAATAAATACATGAAAAAATGTTCATCATCATTGGTCATTAGAGAAATGCAAATTAAAACCACACTGAGATTCCATCTCACTCCTGAAAGAATGGCCAGGATCAAGAAAATCACCAGCAACTCAGTGTTGCTTTAATTTGCATCTCTCAAATGATTGGTGACATTGAACATTTTTTCACATATTTATTTGCTGTTTGTAATTCTTTATCTGAGAAGTGCGTGTTCATCTCAGATGCCCATTTTTGGATTTGGTCTTTGAATTTGGGGGTATGATTTCTTTTGAGTTCTTTGTATGTTCTTGATAGTAATCCTTTGTCTGAGGAGCAGTATTTTCTCCAGATTGTAGGTTGTCTCTTGAAGGGAAGCTTTTTTTTTTTTTGTACTGGGGATTGAACTCACAACCATGTGCTTGCAAGGCAGGTGCTTATGCCACTGAGCTAAATTCCTGGCTCAGGGAAGCGTTTTAATCAGAAAGAAAACAGTCCTGATGTGACTAAGAAGTTGACGTGATGGGACCCCTACCTGTTCCTGAAGATTCATTTCACACCGCTCGCCTGACACTCCATCCTGGCCGCCCTGGTCTTTTCTTAACCTTATATTTTAGAAGGTGTTAGCTTGATTTAAAAAACCAAGAAGGCCACACCAAGGTTTCTGTATACTCGCAGCCAGCCTTCCCCTTCACACAATCCGTTTGCTGGAATTAATGCACTGACACTGACACGTGATCACTGACAAGAGCCCGCAGTTTTCCAGATTTCCTTCCTTTTCACCCAGTGCCACTGCCCTGTCGTGAGACCCAGGGGTTCAGGGCCCCATGTTCCATTTAGGCACCAAGGCTTCCTTTGGCCGTGGTGATTTCTTAGACTTTCCTTATTTGTGATGACCTTGACATTTGGAGGCATACCATCAGGTGTCCATGAGAGAGAGAGAGAGAGAGAGAGAGAGAGAGAGAGAGAGAGAGAGAGAAGAGAGAGAGAGAGATGGAACTGGGATGGAACCCAGAGCCCTGTATATGCCAGGCGAGCACTCATCCTCCCAGAGCCCTCTGCAGTCCTGCTCAGGTATTTTCTACAGCATCTCTGTTGGAATCTGCCTGATGTTTTCCTCAGGATTAGACTGAGGCCCTGGTGCCGGGATTGGAGCACAGAAATGAGGTGTCCCTCCTCCATATCACACGTAAGCGCACACATAGCAGTTGGTAACTATTGATGTCAGCCTTGATCTGCCGGCTGTGCGGTCACTGGTCAGGTTCTCCCTCGGGAAGAACCCTTCCCTCCTCCCTCCACACTGTGCTCTCGTGTAGAGAAGGGTGCATACTCTCCTTGAGAACAAAGTATCTCCGGAGTGCCTTTCTTCTCTCTCACTTGCTCAGGCACGTACTTGAATCGCTGTGGATCTTTGGGCTTGTGCAGAGGGCGTGTCCAATACCACTTGACTGTGTTGCTGAAATCGCTCCACCTTTGGCTCTGGAGGCTCTGTCAGTGGACTCTGTGGATCTGTCCCCATAGTGTGGGTTTCTCTCTCTCTCTCTCTCTTTACTTTTTTTTTTTTTTTTTTTTTTTTTTTTGTCTTTTTCATTTTTTATCGGTACCAGGGATTGAACTCACGACTGCCTGCTTGGAAGGCAGGCGCTTATGCCACTGAGCTAAATCCCCAGCCCCTCTCTTTACTTTTTTACGAACTCTTTATTCTCTGCAACATTAAGATGCGCTAGGTCCATTTTATGCATTTCCAGCCCCAGTGCAGCCCTAGATTCACCAGTTGCTCCCCAAAGCTCCTTTTATGGGTACACAGTGTTAGGAGCTGAGACGCAGTCACTCTGTGTACTGCTCTTGGGGTGTTGTTTCTTTTTGCCCCACCCGCCTGGCAGAGCACAGAAATACATGTGTGTGCGCTGACCCATTGATTTCTCTGTGTGACCTGACTGTGTGACCCCCTGAGGGACGGAGCCACATTTGTGATTATGACAGCCCCAGCATCCTGCACAGTGCCTGGACCATGGTACATAGTACATGTTTCTTGATTAATTCATTCAAATAAGGAAAAGAAAAACCCCAAGGTTTTTACAGTTACTGCTACTGTTCAGTTTTGAACTGAAAAGAGATAGCCACTGTGGCAGCTGAGGATTTAGCTCAGCAGCATAAGCGCCTGCCTTGCAAGTGCGTGGTCGTGAGTTTGATCCCTGGTACCGATAAAAACGAAAACAACAAAGAAATAGCCATTGTGATGAAGCAATAAAAAGAACGAAAGTTACACAGATTTGACAGGTAAGAGGAAGGTCTTTCATTTCCAGATGTTTTCACCAGCTACCTAGAAAACTCTTACATACTAAGGGAACATAGCAATGCCATATATAAAAAGCAGTGATTTATTAATTGGTAATAACCAGTTGAAATGGAACATTGATTATTTCAGTCAAGATAACAACCAAGCCTACCTTGCTTAGGATTAAGAGGAACAAAAAGTGTGTAAGGCCTCTATGAACTGAAGTTCATCACGTAGGTGCTGACTCAGCAGACAGCTGTGCCATATTCCTGAGCCGGAAGACTTGTGCTCAGAAAAATGTGCATCATCCTTAGATTAATCTGTAAGCTCACCAAAGTCCTAATCAAAATCCCAACAGAATTTTTCATGCAACTTGACAAGCACCTTGGATTTCATAAGGGACCTTGGGAGAAAAACAGACAAGAACTTGAAAACTTAGAACTCATCCCACCAGCTGTCCTAAAGTTATAAGAGCGAATCAAGAGGACTTCCTGGTCCAGTCAACGGAGCAGAACGGGGTCCAGATACAGATTCTATCAGTATGAAAATTCAGTATGAGACAGGAATGGCATTTGTGGAAAGTGCTGGAGAGAAACTATTGTTTAATAAATAGGACAGGAACCTTGGCAGTCCACCGTATACTGCACACAAAAATAAAGTCCAGATGAGGTTGTGACCTAAATATAAAATGAAATATATATGCTATTTGAGTAAAGTACAGGATAAAATATTCAGGGCCTTTGGATTCAAAAGACCGTAAGTACAGAATGCAAATCTAAAAAGACAAACTTGACAAAGTTTGCTACATGAAAACATTTAAAAACTTCTACATGACAGTGGGCAATTATTTAAGAAGTTTACAAACAGTAGACTAGGAGTCAAGATTTCCAACATACAAAGGAAAATAAAAGCATTTCTGTAAATCCATAAGGAAGCATAAACAATGGAAAAGGTAGCAACCCTGTGAAGTTAGTTCACGGAAGAGATACTAATCACCAGTAAATATTTGAAAAATGCTCAGTTTCACTAGTAAAAAGGGAAAAGAAGTGCAATTTATGAGACTCTGTTGTCACTTTCCAGATTAACAAAAATTCACAAGATTGATAATACCACAGATGAGTTAGGCTGTAGGAAGACAGGTTTTCCTCTGTACTGTAGGACACACAGCTTGAGGGTCATTTGCATTACTTTTTAAGTTAAGCATTGTGTACATAGTGATAGCCAGAGGGGCAGCCCACTGTGGGAAACACACAGAAGCTTCCTGAAGAGTTAACTATGCCTCAGTGGTACAATCCAGCAGTCTTTCTCCAAGGCAGGCATGAAAATGCCTATTGAAAGCCTGGTATTAAACGTTCACAATGTTTGTCACTAATGCCAAGAAGTTAGAGACGGCTCAGGCGCCCATGGGCAGAAAGGACAAACGAGCTGGGGTGGGTCTCCATACTGGGACAGCTGCTCTTCAGTAGAGAGGAAACGCTGGTGATTCATGCGGGTGACCCGCAAAAGAGTTGTGCTGAGAGAAGCCAGACAGGAATTGTGTCTGCTGCCCGATATATGAAGCTGTCGAGTCACAAAATTAAAGCAGCAGATGCTTGCGGGAGCAGGTGAGCAGGATGGCACATGAAGGAACCTGGAGGGTCACGGGTGGCTCTTTGGTGTATGTATCTATGGAAGTGACGTGTGGTGATGCTCTCAAAAGTGATCAAGCTACTCATTGCAATTATATACGTGTGTTATATTTCAGCAAAAATAAGACTGGTGCTTTCCTGGAAACACCCTCTTCCCCCATTGTCTTCCCCTAGTGTTCTTTCCTTTCATCTTATTTCTGGGATACTAATACATGAGCAGCAGGAAACGCATCTCAAGGACTTCTCTGTCATTGAGAATGGGGACATCTTGATGTCAGCTCACCATCTTTCCAAGTGCGATCCCCCAAGATAAATACCAGTAACTGTCAAAACCTTATGGCAGCCAGCACCCCGTGGGCTGACCCAGAGCTCCCCAGAACTTAGCAGAGGGGAGGATGAGGGATACAGTGCACAGTGAGATGCTGCTTATGATTATAAGTGCAAACGTAAGATGTACAATATCCTTAAGGACACCGCTGTATCAGAGGAACACACAGCTCATGAGCATAGCCATGCTGCTCACGGGTCCTATCTTAGTTACTGTCTTGTTGCTGAGACACAATACCTGACACCCTTAAACTGAAAAGAGGAGAGGTTTATTCTGGCTCATGGTTTGTAGAGTTTCCAGTCCACAGACAGCTGGCCCCAAAGCAGCATAACAGAGGAGAAAGGCTTTATGTCATGGCAGGCAGGAAGCCTTGCAGGAAGCAGCAAGTGTTCAAGGCAGTGGGAATTCCAGGCCAGGCCCTCAGCGACCCGCCTCTTCCTGCCAGCTTCACCTCCCTATATCATCCCAGGCTGTAAACCCATCGGAGGGCCAATCCAGTGTTACATCCATGACCCGGTCTCACACCCCCGTGAACTAGTCACTACCCAAAGCCCCACCTGTGAGTGCATGAGGCTTGGGAGCTATCGGGATAAAACCTGTGATAGGTCTCACCTGAAGCTGGGGTTCAGTGACTAGAGATATTTGTTGTTGTTTTTCAATGAGAACATAGCTGTATTACTCACCTTTCATGTTGCTGGAAAACAATACCGACCCCCACAATTTAAAGGAGGAAATGGTTTGATTGGCTCACGGTTTCAGGGGATTCAGTCCACGGTAACTGGGTCCAAAGCAGGATCATGGTGGAAGGGTGTGGGGAGCAAAGCTGCTCAGTTCACAGCAGAGAGAAGCAGAGTAAGAGATTAGTGCCAGAGAGTAAGGGATGAGGGACCACACAGACCCCAGGGCCACAACTCCCAAGACCCCCAGACACACCAAGAAGTGGGTGCCAGCAATCTGCCAGGTAGCTCCCAAGCCAAACAGCTTGGTAATTAAGCTTATTACCACAGTAGTGATGTTTTCTTTAGTTACATAAACATTTAAAATATTTAAGAAGAACATGTCAGATTGTATCAGATTCCATTCACAGAATGTCTGTCGCTGGAATTTCTTTCAGGTCACGCAGTATTTGCTTGATAAAGCCCTCATCATTGATGAAGATACGCTCTATGAGCTCTCACTAAAGATTGAACCCCGACTCCCTGCTTGAAGACCTGGCCTTTCCCTGAGATCTTGGTTCGCCACCACAGATGGTGGGACAGACAGAGTCGTGCATGGCATGCATCACACTGCGCAGGGGACAGAGGGAGGTGAAAGCAGGCTCCTCTGTCCGCCAAAGAAGATGGAACCGGAGTGACTTCTGTCTGCAGCCAGAGTGAAACCCAGCTGTGGGTCAGAGACGGCACTTTAGCCTGGGGTGGGACAGGGTGAAGGCTGGCATGGGTCCAGAGCATTTTATTTATGGGACAGTAAGAGGGGGAAGCTGTACATAAGAGGGTAGGTTCCCCTCTGTCCCATGTTCTGTGAGGACTCGGGGGCAAGGACCACCAGAACAGATGCGATGGCTGGGATGCATCCACGATGGCCTAGAATTGAACTGCTTCCATTACCCCTGGTCAAAAGCATCCTCCCTGGGGCCAGCACGCCAGGGTCTGTGTGTGGCATGTGGTGAACTGTCACATCGGAGGAGTGGTGTGACCCGACACCAGGACAAGAAAGAAATGGTGAAACCCAAGTGTACTTGTTGGTGCATTTCCTTAGAAGCAGTGTGTGTGGGGGGGGGGGTGGGGAATTCCAGCCATTGGGTTTCTTGGGGTGTGGGAAGGGACCTCTTTCTGAGTTTCATGAGGCTGCTGCCTCAGAGAGATAGCTGCAGGGCTTTCAGGAGGCTGTGCACCACCTCACCCACAAAACTAAAGAAGATGGAGGCCACAAAGTGCTATGGCAAGAAGGGGTGTCCTGCTCCGTGAGTTTATACAGCTAACACCCACCTCTGCACCCTGCCTGGCTTGAGATTTCTTCCCCACAAAATACTGCAGGACTCTTTTCTGATTGCACATTGGCTTGCTACAAACATTGCTTGTGTTTTAAAAACCATCTTGGGGGATTTTCTTTTGAAAACCTACACTATCATGGGCTGCTAGCAGAGATCTCCCCCACTCACCGGCCCCACTTGAAAATGTTTTGAGATCATCCAGCATCAGTGCAGGGGAAATGGATCCACTCGCCCGGGGGCTGGGCCAGCACAAAGCAGGGCCTGGAGAGGCAGCTGCCAAGGTGGCAGCCATGGAGGAAATAGGGTTAGCTCCCGGTTTACCTCCCCCTTCTCTTCTCAGGGCAACTGCTGCTGCCACACGGAAGGGAAAACAGCACCACATGGTTGTTCCCAGCCCACTGAGCCTGTCTCTCAGAGGCATGAAGCTTATGATGCTGACAGTGAAGAATCCATCTGTCTGGCTGTTCTGGCTCTTTCCTTGCACTTCAATTATGTAGTTAACAGCTGGCTAATAAATCCTCCTGCTGACTGGCTCTTAGGACCCACTGGCAAAGCTGGCCAGATAATGTACCATTTTAGAAGCAGAGAAGGCAGCTTTCTGCATGGCCAGGACCGTCTCTACTTTAAACTTATAGTAAAGTAGCAACTAAGTAAATGAAACTATTCATCACGCGGGAAGACCACCCAAACATCGTTTCCATAACTCCTAACAGCATAACACTGAGCCCAAGGAGCTTTCCTATGGATGCTTTTTCTTTTTCAAAGAATGTTGCTTGTTTATTCTCTTTAGTTTTAAAGTAAGAGGCTGATGTATCAATGCATGGAGTGCAGCATGGGCTGTTGGGTTCTAACAGTGCATCCTCCTGATTTATTCCTTAGTGCTCAGAAGCTGAGGGCTTGAAATAATGTGTCGCCCACACCACACCTCTGGTCTCGCAGAAGAGGAAGAAAGTACTGGTGAGCTTTCCTGGCTCCAAAATACACCCTTGGAAGGTGGGCCAGAACCAAGTCCCATCCAGGGGAGGACCAGGCACTTCCTAGTTCAGGTAACGCTGTTCTCTCTGCCTTGGCATCCTGTGGCCCTACAGAGGGAAGAATGTGACTGTCCATTTTCTTGGAGGTTTGGACTCCTATTCCTTGACCCAAATGTTCCAGAGGCATTGCAGCCAGCTTCTTAAGAAAAAATAAGAGATGCAGGAATTTCCAGGGCTCCTCCCCTTCTGGAGCACAAGTCTTCCCACTAGGGAGCAAGCCTTGGAGCATATTCCTGTCACATGCAGGACGTGCCCCCCAGTGGTCATCCCTGGGTACTGCCAGTTGTGCTGATTTAGAGCATTTAGTGGGTTCCAGGTGGCTGCTTCTGTGTCCCACAGCTAAAGTACAGAGAACTGCACTTTCCAGGGTGTCCCTTGACAGCCTGCGCCATTGTGGGCCAGCCAAGAGGCAGCAAGCAAATAAACTCAGTTTCCTCGAGTCAGAACCCCTCAGAGCAATGTGTGCATCTCTTCGACGTCAGAATCCCTATCTGCTTCTCCTTCCAGCTGTGTGCATCTGTTGAGACACGCAGGCATGCCCACAGCTCCAGCTACTCAGATTCTGTTCTGGTCGGCCTCTTAACCAGGGGGTGAGCCTGGGTTCAGAAGTAAAACCCCATTTCATGCTCTCTCATGAATTGTCCCACTTTGTACTGTCAGTGGAATCATCTGGAGGATTTCAAGGGATGCCTTTGGTTCTTAATGAAGACATCCATTTTTGCTACAGGGATAAATGTTTTGCCTAAGCCAACGTGTTATTTGACAGATTCAGCGTGTACTTTTCCTCGAAGACATTAAAGCAGGAATGTCCTTCTGCCTCAGCATTGAGAAGGGACCCCCACACCAAGTCCCAGCAGCTGTCTGCTAAACTTCAGTGCACCTTAAAGTATTTCTCATAAACAAGTGAAGGTCATGGATGCTGGATAAGTTGGAAGAGCAAAACCCAGCCTGTGCCCATTTGGAACAATGGGGCAGCCTTGAAGTTCTTGGGAAGAAAACTGTCATAAGAGAGGTTATCTTCGATGAAGTTAACTTGAATTAAAGACAAACCATCTTATTTAATGTTTCCTTTCAAAGTTTGATCTTACTCTCCCTGAAAGTCTTTTTAAGTGTAAAGTTTCTTTTATCCAATATGAAAAAAATGGTTAAAAGGTAACACTATGTCAGGCTGGTACACAGGGTGAAAATCAATGAATGAGATTCATGTTACAAATAAGTCTGGAAGGTTCAGTAATGGCAGCTGGATTATTAACACCACTGAGTCTTGGTGATATAAAATGAATGCACAGCAGGTGAAAGTGGAAGCCAATCAGGTTGCTTGAGGTATAAACAGGAGCAATCAGAGAAGCACTCATCTCAGCTGCCTCTCAGGGTTACGGTAATGAAAGGTCTGAGGGTCAACCACTCTTGGACTTATCTGTTCGAGGAAACAAGAGTTAGATATGACCATGTCAAAGCTCTGTTTTCCACATTTATTTAGCATTTCTCTAGAAAGCTGCTACAAAAAAAGTAATGGACTAAGCACCTGGACACTTGAGTTCTAGCCTGGATTCACACCCATGAGCTGAGCAACCTTAGGCAAGTGTCTATACCACTCTGAGCCTCAGCTTTGTCATTTGCAAAAAGGGGTTGAGAGTGCTGGCTGTGCTGTGGACTGTAAACTGTAACGTGCTGTCCCTGTGGGAGGCAACCTCCTCATCCCCAGCTCTCTTCGGCAGAGCAGTTGAACATGATTCTGTATTTGCGTGGTGTGTGTGTGTGTGTATGTGTGTGTGTGTGTGTGTGTGTGTCACATATTGTTTATGTCCAGTTGCTTGAAGAAAATCTACTACATCTGCAATTCCAACCGAGGGGTTTGTGCTGTGCTGGCTACTTGCAGGTGGAGGTGGAGGTGATGCCTGTATGCAAAATAAACTTTGCCTTTCTTGGATGCTTGGAAATCGCATGGCTGCTTCATTGAGCACTTCTCGAGTTCCTCTGCACTGTCTGCTTCTTAGCAGTGGTCTCCTTCTGGTGTTCTTTTCCTTCTGAAATTCACAGGGATAACAGGAAAGGTGGCAGGTAGGAAAATACCAAAAAACTGCATGGACTCAGACAAATATCCTGTAGTCTTGTTCCCCGATGGCACCTTAATCTCTGCAGCTGCTCTTCAGCTCTAAAATACGGTTCCTGTATCTGGGACCACACAGCAGTTCAGCGGGTGGACACGGAGGAGGCTGCCTTCACATGTGTCAGGTGGGGGAAGTGGTCCCAACGTCAGGGTGGCAGGAGTCAGGGCACACTGCAGGGCATAAGTGTGGCCTCAGGAAGGGGACCTCCTTCCCATCAGCTTCCCTCTCCAGGTTTCATCAGCAGGCAGGAGCCTAGAAGCCTCCTAAACCCACACTTCGCATAGAATTAAGTTCCAAGCTCATGGACACCTGTTGGGGAGAGGGATTTTCAGGATGCATCCGTACGAGACATAAAGGGATTAGGCCAAAATTTTAAAAGCTTGCAGAAATGCAGAGTGTTAATCCTCAAAATCAAGAGGGTCCTCTAGCTTAGAGCTGGGTACAGCTCAGATGACAAGATGGGCGAGCCGTCGGTACCCTTCAGGTTGGAGGCCTGACGCTCACGGCAGAATCTGTGCGAGTCCTCACTGGAAACCCGAAGGTCCTGCACTGGTGGCCAAGGGAGCTGGAAACGCACAGCCAAACACCTGGGCAAGATGTCGCCTTTGAGAAGAAGCACAGAACAGACTTCCTCCCGGCTGACTTGTTTACCCTGCCCAGGCAATGCGACTATTGGGTGGTGCCACCCACATCCAGGGTGGGTCTTTGTTGCTGCATGTCAATCATTCCCAGAATCCCCCACAGCTGGGTGCAGTTTATCCATTCACCACAGTGAATGCGTGGGATGTGTGCAGTTCCCATGGCCTGCTCACCTGCCAGAGTAAATGCAGGCCATTCAGCCCAATTTCCACTGTCCACTCACATCCTTGCAGAAGCACAAAATATAGATGGGAGGAGATGGCCTCTCCCTGGGCAAGAAGGCCAGTCTGTAGGTGACACGAGGTCTCCAGGGCTTACTGGATACTGAAAGAAGAGGGGAAAATAGCTAAACTGGGCTTTACAGTCCCAAAGGCTGTAGTTTTTCTTAAAAGCACAATTTTAAAATTCTAATTTTCCTTCTCTCCTTTTTACCTATCTTTCTTTTTACTCTGGAAATCCCTGCTCCACCACGTCCTCTAGCCTGGCTGGGCTCAGAGACAGGAATAAGCTGGTAATATTCGTGTGGCCACAGAGGCAGGCGGTGACCGGGGCCAGCCCCCTAGGCAGTCTCCAGATGGCCGGGCTGCTGCCCAGAGGCCTGGCCGGTCACTGCTATTTACAGCCAACCTTTCCAGTTGGCAGGGGATGGGCTGGGAGGGCTATTTTTGAGCACAGAGGCAGCCTGCAGGCCTTCTGGATGGTGGGCTCAGCTCAAGTGGAGAGAAGACGACTCATCCCGGGCACCTAGGCCTAGACTAGAATGAGACTGTCATCATCCCTGAGTCCAGGCCCCGGACAGTGAGCAGGAAGGACATCCCTGCAGCCCTAGCTGGACAGCTTCCGCCTCTCTGGTCATGGCTTAAGGGGTTCACTCTCTGGAGCCAGAGCCCCAAAGCTGGTGCTCCTGGGAGAAGGGAGAAACAAGGGCCCTGAAGTATGGCTTCTCCCAGGGACCCTGCCTTGATCCTGGCCTGGGCAGCCCAGCTAGGTCTAGGGCCAGCAAAGGCCCGCCTGCCTCTTCAAGGGAAAGGAGACAATTCAGAGAAGGGGCGAGTGTTGAAAGACCCAGGACCCAGGCCCAGTGCCTCAAGGGCACCCAGGGGAACCAGGCTGCCCCCAGGTGGCCCAGGATTGGCCCGGTGTGCCTGGGCCCCGCCCAGCACCGAGCCTCCTTCAGCCCCGGGCCATTCCACTGGCACTTCTTGGTTGTGTGAGTGACCGACTGGACTTGGTGACTCCTGCAGCTTCAAGGTCAGTGGGACTTGGAACCTCTGCTTCTGCTCCAGCGAGGGGACACTGCTAGGACCCGAGAAAGGGTCTGGGAAAGTGGAGGAGCAGGGTTGGGCAGGCAGGGGACAGGCATGGCTGGGGTGGGGTGGTGTCCTAACTCCCCAGAAGCTGTGGTGTCACCTTGGCTTCTGGCACAAGCAGGGCAAATTTGGGGGTAGCAGGGCCATCCCTGCGAGCAGTGCTGCTAATACAGTGTCAGACTTGGGGTAAATGAACTAGAAAAATTCAAATGTTTGAGGCCCCAAGGACCTCATTAATGGGGACCCAATTTGCACTGGCCAATATTATTCTTGAAGATTCATCTTGGAAATTGGGTAGACATTGAAAATGAATTAAATAAGACTTGCCTATTCCCCGGTAGATTTTTTAAAAAGCTTTAGAATTGGGCTTAATGTGTTTCACCTCTGGCAAAACCTGGTTTTATTTTGTTGTTGTTTGAGGTGAAGGTCTAGGACCCAGGGCCTCTGCACCGAGCAACATCCCCAGCCCCTGCCTTTTCCTTTTCTTCTTTTTACTTCTTATTTGGCCACAGTATCTCACTGAGTGACTAAATTATCCAGGCTAGTCTCAAACTCACAACCCTCCTGCCTCAGCCTATCAGACCACAGGCATGCACCACCATGCCCAGCTTTGCATACTTGTTCATGAGGTTCTGTCCTGCAGAAGGGGACCTGGACATCCTGGGTTGTCCTCTTGCTGAGCAGGGCAGAGAGCCCAAGGCTATCTGTGGGGCTCACTGTATGCCCAACACCCTTATAGCTGGGAGGGCACCGTCCTCTGGGCTGCCCAGCATGCTGGGGTCTTGGAAACTCACTGGCATCCTGTGGAGCTGGGCCAATTCCGAGGACGTCCTCCAATTCAGAGGCTGACATGTGGCTGTCCCCAGCTTTCCACCTGCTCTCTAGCCTTGTGGCACTCAGAGCTTGGACACGTGGACAGCAGGACCAGAAATAGTCCTCGGCTAGCACAGGGCCACACAGATCTTCGTCTTGGAGGGTCACTGTGACCAGGGGCCCAGGCCCATGCCATCTGCAGTGCAGGGTCACTCAAGCAGGAAGAGCTGCAGACCAGGGAACTGGGGCTCCAGGAACCCTGCCCGAGGTGTGTCATGTGGTCAGCTGTCCTTCGGCAGCAAGGGCAAGGGGGAGCGGAAGAGACCCTGTCACTGTCAGCTGTCAGCCCATGCTCTTAATCCCAGGCACATATTCCCAGCCCGGAGCCCTGGAACTCTGCCCATTTCTGGTGCAAGTTCTATACAAAGCACTTTCCAGACAGAGCTCTAGAGGAGCCCCAGCCTAGAGGCTGGGGAGACTGAGGCACAGAGCATTGGAGACCCTTCCCTCACCTCCCACCATACTCTTTCCCAAAGGAGGAAACAGTCCCTGGCATGACACAGCCACACCGGGCACCTGGTGTCAGAGTTCAGTAGGTAGTGATGTCCCTGGCTCCTGTCCATGTCAGCAGAAGCTGGCAACTGGGAGGACTCAGGCTTATAATATTTCTGGGCTCTGGAGGAGTCACATGCTCTGAGGTGACAATCCTCTGCCTCAGTCTGCTGCAGAGACCTGTGGCACTCCTGGTTCCTGAGTCACAAGAGCAGCCTCCCCCAGTGATGGGGCTGGTTGCCTGTGCTTGGGATGGTTTCATGGCACACATGCAGAGACTCCTTCAGGAGACAGAGCCTGGGTATGGGTCAGCTGGGACACAACACCCAGCACCCACAACTGAACGGGGGAGAGGCCTACTGTGGTTCGTGTGCTAAGGGGCTTCAGTTCATGGTCAGCTGCTCCAAGGCAGGATCATGGCAGTGGAAGGGCTTGGAGGACCGAAGCTACTTAGGTGAAGCAGGGTGGCAAACAAGGCCACAAAGGAAGAGGCTGGGGAGCAGACACAGATCCCCAGGCCAGGGCCCTGTGACGCCCCAGACACACCCAGAAGTGAGCTGCATGGATCTCCACAGGGCTCCCAGTCAATCAGGTTGACGTGGACCCTGACTGCCTAGGAATCTGAATTCCTAACACTCACCAGCTGATTTTTAAAAAGCATTATCCTTTTAAAATCATAAGCATTACTGTGAGCAATGTCTTACAGAGTTCTATTAAGAGAAATTTAAGAATCTACCTTCTCCAGGTTCAATACCTGGGACTAAGCCTTCTGTCAGCCTGGTGAACAAACCTCAGTCATTTTCTTTGTTCCTTACACACACACATGTATAACACTGCCACACAGTGGGAGCCACTATCCCCACCCCTATGCAAGGCATTTTTCTCTTTTCATCTAAGGATGCGTCATAGACCTACACCTTGTACGTGGAGGGGTTCTTAGCCTCACAGCAGCCAGGCATCCCGAGGTCAGAGTGGCCACACTCAGCACTGTCCTTCTCCCTCTGGCAGGCAGGCTACTTCTGAAATTTTTGCCACCCTGGACATAACAGTGTTCCCAAGGCAGCCTGCTGCTTCTTTCCTTACATAATGGCATTTTATTTCTGCAGGATAAATTTCTCAAATGTGGTACAGGTCCAGAGGCCTCGGACATTTCTTATCTTGGTAGCGGTTCCCTGTGGCCCTTTGTAGAGCAGTGGCTGCAGTTCCCCAGGGCAGGCCAGGGCGTCCCCACAGTCCTGGAAGACCAGAGATCCCTCCAACACCAGATGGAAACCCTGTCAGGCCTCCGGGCTGGGCCTTGGGTCCCTGTCCTCTGGTGGCAGCAGAGTCCCCAGCTTGGAGCACCCCAGTGCCTTGGGGCAGGCGGCGGGCTTCCAAGGCCCTGGGGATGGACAGGACAAGGCTGTGTGGAGATGCAGCACCTAGGAAGGGACAGCATAGGAGTGAGCTGCAGGAGGGCAGACAAGGACAGGGGCCCAGAGGGGACCTCTGTGTCCTCAGAGAATTGGCAGCTTCAAAGGAGGGCCCCCCTTTGGCCCAGGAGGTGCAGGACAGGACAAGGAGGTGGTCTCATTTGGGAGGTGGCCGATGCAAGGATGGAAACAGTGTCCCTGAAGAGAGCCACAGAAGGCCTGTTGGCCACAGAAGGCCTGTCACCACACCCAGTGCTCCCTCTGTGTCCAGTCTGCAGCTCTGTGTGTTAGAGGGGCGGCTGCCTCCTGGGCACAGTCGGCTGAGTACTCCCTACCGTGCTTGCAGTGGGGCCTCCTGGAAGTCACCGGTGGGAACAGTATCAGATGCTAATAGGGTAGCAGCCTTTGAGGACAGCCAGGGCCATTCTGCAGGCTGCCCAGGAGTTAGTTAGCTCCAGAGTCATCACAAATGCAACATCACGGTCATTACCGTGTGTTATTAGTGTGTTCATTTTATGTTGGAGAAAATTAAGGACTAGAGAGGGCCATGCAGACTCAGAAGAGCTTTCTCGAGACAGCAGGTCAGCAGCCGGGACAGGGCCTCTGGTCCTGGCTTCTGCTCACTGCACTGCTCCTGCGTCTGCTTGAGGTCACCAGGAAAGACGCTGGTGGAATCTGGGGATTCATGAACTGCCCTCCTCCCAGTAGAGCCTCTCTTGATAGGATTTGGTGCCAATCCTGATGCTATGACATGGGGAGCACCCCGACTGGGGTCTTTGTAGGACCCCAGGACTGGTCGCACCTCCCTTCTTGCCAATTTAGTGACATGAGGCACCAGAAAGCCTCGCCCCTCCTTCTGCCTCTGTCTGCAGAGTCCTTGCAGAGGCACAGGTCATCCTCACATGACCTCTGTGTGCTGGGCACTGTCCTGGTAAGGAGACTGACCAGCGTTTCCTGAGTCACCTCACTGAGTTCCAGTGCAGAGCAGACTACACTGCTTGTTCCCTGTAATGGGGAAGACTGCGAGAAAAATAAAACTGACTCGCAAGACAAGGCAAAATGACCCTGTGGAGGCGCAGTTGCTGTTCCCTGACCTCTGTTTCTGGGCTCCCTGGGAGGGCTGCTGGTCGGAAGACTACAGAGGACTCCTGCAGCCACTTTCTGCCACCTGCCGTGTCTGTCCCCATCTCCCTGCTCCTTCCAGGTCGTAGGAGCAATCATTGCAGGTTGGGCTGCCTCTGTCCTGCCCCCACCCCGCCCCTCTGCCTCTCTGGTGTCTGTCTAGAAGCACCCCCTTGTGCCCCACAAGGTGACTCCCCAGTGATCTTTCACCTTCTCCAGAAAGTGCTTCCTGGTCCATCAGTCCGACTATGAAGTGTGACCCAAAGACACGCTGGGTGCTCACATTTCCCTTTTCCGTCACAGCAGCAGCCACGCGGTCTCTCAGATTCCTCCCTCGCCCTCAGCACACCCGTTCCGTCCCTTCGCCCTTGCCATTTGCCACAGCAGCCCTGGAGTTCTTTCCTGAGTGTCCTCAGTTGCACTGTCCTGCTGCCTTGATGTCCTGAACAGATGAAAAGCATGGCCCTTTCACTGTCATTTTGATTCTGGGAGAAGCCAGACGCCACGTGGTCTCACATATGGTGAAAAGTGGGGATGATGGCACAGTGTGACGACTTTACAAGCCTTTTGTTGTTTCTGGATGGCACTTGGCAGTGGGGGCAGTCACCAAATTTTTGATCATGTCATGTGAAACATTCAGGAAACAGGCTTCCAGAGCTGCTTCAGAGGGATTAACATGAACCATGGCAAGGAGGGGAAAGGATTCTGAGAAGGATTAATTTTAGTATTTTAAAAATTGACTGTACCATGTATTTCAATCACCCCTTTTGTTTCTGCACTCCTGTCTTTGTTTGTTTGGTTGGGGTTTTTTTGGTACCGGGACTCCAACTCACAAGCTCATACTTGTCAGGCAGGTACTTAGGGCCCTGAGCTAAACCCTCAGCTGTCTTTGGATATAATGATGTTCACAGTGACCTACCTTACCCACCAGACTGCATGGAACCCTAAAAGTCCCTGGAGGGCCGCCTCAGTGTCTGGCCTGGGGTTAATTCCCTGCATTGTTGAGTGATGGGTAAAAAAGGCCCTTGATTTAAATTAGCGCCCCCCTGGCCAGAATCCACACGGTTCCTGTGATTTCCCTTTAGCTGTGTGAAGAGAGAGCGCGAGGTTACCCAGGGTGACGGCTCTAAAGCCCACTAAACCTGGCCTTGTCCAGTCTCCACTGCTGCTCCCTCCTCACAAGGACGCTTGTGAACTGGGGGCTCCTGATAACCAGACCAGCTGCAGCCAGCGGGCTTGGAGGCAGCCCCGAATGACCTCTAATAGACCCCAAAGTCCCGAAGACTGAGAAATAAAGCCGAGGGGAAAACAGTTACACAGGAGCAACTTAAACCCTGCAGGGTCTCATCCTCCTAACTGACTTAACTGGGTCACCCGGGGGGTGATTCTTCCATAGACCCATGTGGCTGTAGTGACCACCTCCAGTGTGACAGTGAGGTGGGGATGCTGGCAGAGGTTACCTTGAGGGCTGTGAAGGCCATGTTAGCTGCAGATGGCCCTGTGGCCCATGACTGGAATAGGACACAGGTGCCAGCATCTCTGTGCTCTTCCTCACCTGAGGGCAAAAGGGCTCCCAATGGTGGTCCCAGCCCTGCAGTCTGAGGCCCCATGCTGCCTTCCACAGGGCCTGTGGTGCTTCAGGGCAGCTCCATCCAGCTTTTGGCCTCCTGTGCCCTGGGCCGGCCACCTGTTTAAAAGCAATCCGCATCCTTATCCCATCTGTGAAGGACAGCTGCCCTCCTCCTGTCCCTAACAGACAAGTACTTCATTGATTTGCTTTCCTGTTTCCCGATTGCCTCTAAATCCATCAGGATGCCTCAAGGAAGGCAGCGATGTTTCCTTTTTTAAATTTACTTTCTCGAGCCGCAGTGTGCAGAGGGTAATGAGCACACTCCCCATGGGGAGTTGGTGCATGGACATAACGCGTCTTATTTGCACCCAGGTGTCGGTCCCCCTCTCATCTCCCTGCTTCCTGTCATCTGCCTTTTATTTTGCTCTTTCCTGTCTATGTACTTGGCTTTGTCCGGTAACAGACACCACACGCTATTTAAGCTTGTGCATCTGATACATTTCACTTAAAACGGTCAACTCAAGATATGACCTCTTTTTTGCTTATTTGTCTTTGTCACATTGCTGGAGAAAATGTCAGACAGTGACAAAGGCTCAGCTGTAGCTTCCCAAGCTGAGTGAAGAAAAAATAGGAATAGAGAGGAAAACAAAGCATACTCAGGGAGAGCCGTGGTCTGCTGCTCTTCTTCCTCCTGGGGCCTCCTGAGACCTGGCTGACCCTTCCTTCCTCCCTTCCTTCCTTTAGCCTCCCCCGAGCAGAAGCATGGCCAGCACTTTCTCCAAGCTGCTCACTGGCCGCAATGCCTCTCTGCTGTTTGCCACTCTGGGCGCCAGCACTCTGACCACTGGCTACCTGCTGAACCGGCAGAAGCTGTGCGCTGAGGCCAGGGGCCAGCACAAGCTATTCCCCGCAAGGTGAGTCCCTGGCTTTGAGGTGTAACCGAGTATGGGAAACACCAGTGTATCCCCAGAAATACCAGCTACTCACAGAGTACAGTATATGTTTAAACAGAAAGATTATCACAGTCAAAAACAGATTGCCATGAGGCTCCCTCAACACTCCTCCCATTCAAAAAAAAAAAAAAAGCATACTCCCCTTCTGAGAACACACTCATCCCATCTCCTTGCTGTTTCCTGCAGCTCTGGAGTTCTCTTCCCAGTGTCTTTAGTTACGCTGCCGCGACAGCCTTGATGTACCGAGCTCACTCAAAACGTTTTCCTTTCATGGTCACTTTGACATTGGGAGAAAAGCAGAAGTCACAAGTGCCAGATCTGGTGAATGGGGTGGATGAGGACCTGGCGTCCTGTTTTTACAAGCCTGCCTTCTCCTTGGGTGGTTCTGGGTAGCAGGACTCCCCGTATTTTTTAGCACAGCTCACAAAGACTCAGGAAAGAGGACTACAGAGCTGCTGCAGAAAGCAGCAAGGACGATGTGATGTTTGTGTCACGCCGGGGGAGGGTTTTGAAGGGGATTCATGGCAGCGTGTCTCCCGCCAAACTACACTTCTTTAAAGTGTAAATGTTCACTGTGTGTTCTGGTCACGCCTGGACCTCCCTCTTCCCCTGTTTACTGAACCATCACTGAAGCTCTTCTGCGGGACCCTTTGTCTTTGAAGCCTCTCACGCTTAACACGACCTCTGGCAGCTCCAGCCAGTCAGGTCTGACCCAGGCCCTTGCCAGTCCCTGCCCAGCTGCCCCTGATGGCCTCACTGTCCATCCCCAGTGCTGACTACCCCGACCTCCGCAAGCACAACAACTGCATGGCCGAGTGCCTCACACCAGCCATCTATGCCAAGCTCCGCAACAAGGTAACGCCCAATGGCTACACCCTGGACCAGTGCATCCAGACCGGTGTGGACAATCCAGGCCACCCCTTCATCAAGACAGTGGGTATGGTGGCTGGGGACGAGGAGTCCTACGAGGTGAGCCCTGGGCTGCAGCCCTGGTCCTGGGGCCCTTCTCTCCTCTAGGGGACAGCCATCTGGCTCCTGCAGAAGGGATCCCAGTTCTGTAGCCCCACTGAGAATGCTTTGGGGACACCCAGGGTGCCCCTTCCCAGGGTCCAGCTCACTGGGGAGGCATTGGTGGAGAGCAGTGGTCCTCTCTGTGATGGGCATCACTATGGAGATGGCAGGCGCCGGTGGGCTGGAGTTGGGTCCACACATTCTCAGCCAGGAATTCTCTTTCCTGCTGCCTGATGGTCTCCCAGAAGCACAGAATGGAGCTGGGTGCCACACCCTGCCTCCGGACCTCATCCTCGGGGCAAGGCCAGTGGCCACCAGGGCCTTCCTTGCATTCTTGTGTGCAGGAAGTGGCTCCCTGGAAGGCAGCAGTCGGGGAAGAGGGGGACCCAGAGTGGACACGATGGGGGCCAGGGACCTTCCAGGGAGAAGTTTCTCCTCTTCCCTGAAGGTGGCTGGAGGCCCTGGATGGACACAGCTGCAGCAGAGGTCCTTGTTCTGCACACCTACGCCTGCTAGGTCCCCTTGTGCTGTAGCAGCTGGGCTTCCTTGTGTCCTGAACAGCGCTTTGGCCTTAGGGCCAGATCATCCTCCCAGCACCAAGCTGTCCAGCCTGTGACCCGAAACGTCTCCTCTCCAGGATAGAAGCCCCCTCGCTACTCTAGCGCAAGACTCCTCGCTCAGCCCTGGGGATCCCAGGAGCCATCGAGATGACCTGGTCCAGCACCCCACTTTCTCCACAGGGCCCGAGGCTGCCCCAAGGGATGAGGGTGCTGTACACAGTACTCACAATTATGACCTCACACTGGCTTCTGCATGGAGGCTGCAGAACTTAAGAGGGCGTCAGCGCCAGCCCTTAGCATAAGGGGGCAAGTGAGGTGCCCACTCGGGCACATCCTAACCACCAGCAAGCTCTAGCATCTTCTCTCCCGCAGGTGTTTGCTGAACTATTTGACCCTGTCATCAAACTGAGGCACAACGGCTATGACCCCAAGGTGATGAAGCATCCCACGGACCTGGACGCCTCCAAGGTAGGCCCTGCCCCTGCTTTCCCAGACCAACTCTTCCCTGGACAAGGGGGAGCAGAGAAAATTAAGAAAGCCCTGGAGTACTACTCTGCTGTGAAGAGGGAAAAGCGTGAGCCATCGTAGGAAAACAGACGCACCTGGAGACCGTAATGCTGAGTGAACTAAATCAGACGCATGAACTTAAATACTGCATGGCTTCTCTTACAGAGGAAATGCGAAGGATAAACAGAGCAAAATAAAAGACAATAGGGAGAAGGGCAATAGATCTTTGCAGGGGGGTGAGGGAGGCTCTAACTAAATCTGTCCTAAAGCTTCCCTTTTTCACCACAAAGTGCAATGGGGCGTAGAGCAGCCTGGCCCCTCAATTACCCCAGCTCCCCCTCCTCCCGCAGATCACCCATGGGCAGTTCGACGAGCGCTACGTGCTGTCGTCCAGGGTGCGCACGGGCCGCAGCATCCGCGGGCTCAGCCTGCCGCCCGCCTGCTCACGCGCCGAGCGCCGGGAGGTGGAGAACGTGGCCATCGCGGCTCTCGAGGGCCTCAAGGGTGACCTGGCCGGCCGCTACTACAAGCTGTCGGAGATGACGGAGCAGGACCAGCAGCGGCTCATCGATGTGAGTCGGGCAGAGTGGGAGGAACCCCAGCCTGGGGCGGAGCCATGGGCCAGCGATGGGCGTGCACGCTTGGGCCCCACCCTAGAACCAGGGCGCAGAACTCACCCCCACCCAGGCCCTGCAGAAGCAGAGAAGTTTTCAGTTAGAAACTGTTCCTTAGACTCAAAGGGAGAGCAGAAGTGAATCTCCTTCTCCATCTGGCCAGTGGCTGGCATCTGATCCCAGCACTCTGGGAGGCAGAGACAGGAGGATTGGGAATTTGAGCCCAGCCTGGGCAACTAAGCCAGACCCTGCCTCGAAATTAAATCATAAAAAAGGACTAGGAATGTAGTTCAATGGGAAGGTCCTGGGTTCAGTCCCCAGTACCACAAGCAAATAAACAAAACTCCTGTCATTTCAGCAGATGCAAATTCCACAGAATACACCCATTCCCAAGCCTTGCAGGCCAGTGCTGTGGTCAGCGGGCCTTGGGTTCTGGGCCACCAATGCCCAGTCTAGTTTCCACCTCCAGCTGGGATGCTTCCTGGGCAGGGTCCAGACTCAAGGCTTGAGTGGCCATTTCAGAGAGACCCTGGCAGGACCCCTGTCTGTCCCTTGCTTTCCTGAGCTGGGTGCAGTCATACTCCAGTGTGTGACATCCATGGCCCTCATGGTGGCAGAGGAGGAGCTGTGCGTGAGAGTTACACACAGCTGCTGGCACAGACTCAGGGCCTGGCTCGGGAGCCCTGCAGGACTCGGCGGATCTGGTCTGCTGCTGTTCGAAGTGTGATGGTGGCTGGATTGCTCACAGCTCTGCACCTCCTATATGATGGAATAATTCCACTCTGTTGGTTTGAGGATTAAAGGAAACTGGAACACAGCACAGAGCCTGGCACTTGCTGTGGGAGAAGTTACTAGTTGCTATTTGTATTTCTACATGACCACAGTCTATCTTTAAACGAAGGAACGAGGATATAAATGCACCAGTAACACTAGAGATGGGAACAGTGACTGGGACAGGCTTCCAGACAGCAGCCCTCACTCTTGCCTTGCCTTGCTGTGTGTGGCGTGAGGCAGCAGCCGTGGTGCACACACCAGTGTGGACACAGCCAGTGGCTTTCAGCCACCACCAGCCTCACCAAAGAGCTTTCTGGTGTCTGGAGCCCACCAAATGGGCAGTACTGCTGGGTCTGGGACCCTGGCGTCCATGCTGATTTGTAAATTCCTGGGGTAACTAGCTAAGAATCACAGTGCAGTAATCAAAATTTGGCTGCCTGGTGTTTGCAGCCACCCTGAGCTCAATCGTCTCTCCTCTCGACTCTGTCCCTTTGGCCTGCAGGACCACTTCCTGTTTGATAAGCCGGTGTCCCCTCTGCTCACCTGTGCTGGGATGGCCCGAGACTGGCCGGATGCCAGGGGAATTTGGTATGGACCCGGCGTCTTCCCACTTGCCATGCGGGCAGAGGATTCCTCAGACGGCTGCTCCCCTAACCCAGGCTGCTGTGGCCCCAGCTGACAGCATGTCCAGCTTGAGCTTGGTGGAGAAGACAGATGCCTTAGAAATCACAAGTGGGTGTACATACGCCCAGTTTCAGAAGTGCACAGGGTGTGAGCCAGTTTGCATGGGTTGTGCATGGAGGTGGGGGGGGAGAAAAAATGTGCTTCGTGTAATTGAAACTCATAGAGAACCTGCCTCCTGGCATCAAAACAAAGTCCAGAAAAGGAAAGGTAAACATGGGTGATTTAAGAAAAACTAAAAAGAATGAATATTCACGTGCATGGGTTTTATCAAGGCCAAGAGTCCTCAGCTCATTTTGAGTCCTGTTCCTCTGTAAATGATCCTGATCCACTCAGAGGAGCTCAGGGTGTTTGTATGCAGCAGCTGCCCAGTGTTGTAGACAGGCAGAGTCTAAGCCAACTACGTGAACTCTCTTGTATCCCAAACACCTTGAGCTGAAGGGGCAGCCTTTTTTGTTTTTCAATGCACCCCAAGATTTTGGTTGAATTGGTGGGGTGACAGAATACTCCTGCTGATAGCAAAGCCAGCTGTTGTTACAGCCGCTGATGGTCACGGGGTGCAGGGAGTGAGGAGTCTTTTCTTCCTCTTGCATACAAATCTGAAGGCTTGGGGTGATCCTGTTCCGCACTGTGGGTCCTGACCTTACTGCATGGGACTTGTGCAGGCTCCATTAGGAGAGCAGAGCCATCTGGGAAGCAGTGGCGATGGAGCCCTCGGGATGGGAGTTTTAATGCCGTGGGTTCTCAGCTCTGCACTGCTCTCCCTGTCAGGCATAATTTCGACAAGACGTTTCTCATCTGGATCAATGAGGAAGACCACACCAGGGTCATCTCCATGGAAAAAGGTGGCAACATGAAGCGGGTGTTTGAGCGCTTCTGCCGTGGCCTGAAAGAAGTAAGACGCCATCAAGAGTCCTCAGTGCACACAAAAAGAGATGTCTCTACTTTTCCTTATTTAAAAAGGCACTGTAGTGACTTCCGAGACGGGGCTCATTCTTTCTAAGGTCCCAACACGGTGCTGGGAGTGGCACTTTCAGCCCAGCACCTCAGAAAGTGTAGTCTGCACCAGCGGTACTAGGGTCACCAGCTGCAGCTGTCACTGCTGAGAACCCCTGTGCTCTCCTGCTGTCTTGGGGTGTGAGAGTGGACACCAGATGGCATTTATCCAGAGCTCCGTGCCTGCTGGGTCCCATTTGGTGTTTTACATGGCTCCTCTGATTTAATCAGACCGTGTTAACATTCTAAGAGGAGAGGCGCATCGCTCTAAAGTACCAGGCTTGTACCTCCCTGCCATGCGTGGGGGCTGGGCAGCTGCACAGTGGGGGAGGGAACCCAGGACCCTGCCGCGCAGCCAGCACTGTCCCCCTGCAGGTGGAGCGGCTCATCCAGGAGCGTGGCTGGGAGTTCATGTGGAATGAGCGCCTGGGCTACATCCTGACCTGCCCATCCAACCTGGGCACCGGGCTACGGGCCGGTGTGCACGTGCGGATCCCAAAGCTTAGCAAGGTAACCTGCAAGGCTGGGGACAGCCAGGGGCAGCGCAGACGAGACTGCGCCTGACCCTTAACTGGAATTTCCGTCCACCATGTCTGCCATGTTCTCAGACTCCTATGTGCTGGGAGTGACCTGGGGGCGTGGTGGGAGGCAGACTTTCAGCTCCCCATGCAGAATTTACTGTTGCTTGGAAGTTTCTGGGTGACACTGAGGCTATGACTCAGGGGACCATGCTCAGAGGGTCACTGTCCTAGGGCATCATCTCTCTTTGCTTGGTCACAGCTAGGCCCCAGGTTCTAATGAGCGGGAAGGGGACCGAGTGCAGGCTGCTGTGTGCATGTGAGGATTTAAACCTCAGCCCGGAAGTGGCCCCTATCCTGTTCAAGTCACTTTTCTTCCCGCTAAGGTACACTACCAGACCCTTAAAGAGGGAGAGGCTTATTTCAGCTCACAGACCCAGGCCCCAGGGCAGGGTGTGGGGCAGAGGTTGGAGGGGACTGAGAGCTACTTGAGGCAGGGTGGACAGGAAGCAGAGAGAGGAGGGAGGAGGCAGGGAGGGGGATGCACCCCAGGGCCCCACTTCTTTCACCAGGCCCCACCTGCTAACAGCAAGGCAGCTCTAAGCCCCCATAGTCCAGTAATCTTCCGGCAGCTCTTGGGGGACACCCAGGTATGAACCCTGGTATCACCCCTCTGCTTGTGTGTGAGCACAGATGTAGCTGGTGAGCAGGGGCTTCCTCAGCCCCACAGCTGGAAGATGACATAGAGGATTCCGGTGGGTCACTAATAGGTCCTGCTGCTGCATGCCAAGTAAATCAGATACTTTAGAAACCATTTTATAAAATCTGCCCCCCAAAAATAGTATGAGAAGTTTCATTTTCCGGTGCTAAGAAGTTGAAGTGGTTTCATTCGTAACAGTGGCACCTGTTACACGGATGATGTCAAACATACCGGGTCAGCATCCCTACCCAAAACACCTGTGGAAATTAAGGATCTAAGGTTGGAGTCAAGACTAGTTTCATTCCAGCTGGGCCACATGCTAGCTGTATGACCTTGAGCAAGTTAATTCCTCCGAGCCTCCTTGCAGCTGTGCGGTGCAGCTTGCTGTGCGCCTAGAGGCGCATGTATTAAACTTAGTCCCCAGGTCCTATGCTGATGGCATCTGGAGGTGGCAGCTCTGGGAGGTAGCATGGATAGGTAAGGGCATGCAGCCCTGGCCCCACAGCGATGTCAGGGGTGGAGAAGGAGAAGGAGGACCCAGGCCGCATGTGTGCTTGGCCTTGTCATGGGATTCCCTCCACCAAGTTTTCTTGCCAGATACTGCAGCCATGCTCTTTCTTGGCTTCCCAATTGTGAACTAAATAAGCTTCCCTTCTTTATAAATTACCCAGTCTCCATTGTTTTGTTACAGCAACAGAAAACAGACCAAGGTAAGAGTGAAAGCAGTTCCTACTCCATTAGGTGGTTCTGAGGCTTGAAAGTTAGTGCGCTGGTGCATAGAGAGAAAATGCTTTATAAGTGCGCCCTGCCCTTTTCATTCTGCGTCATTTCTCAGTGAATAGCCCAGTGCTGGTGAATTGCGTTTGCTTCTCACGACACTGAGTCTTGTCCTTTGTCATAGGACCCACGCTTTTCTAAGATCTTGGAGAACCTGAGACTCCAGAAGCGTGGCACGGGCGGCGTGGACACTGCGGCGGTGGCGGATGTGTATGACATTTCCAACATCGATCGGATCGGCCGATCAGAGGTAGCATTTCTTAGACCTTCCTGGCCTGAGCTGAGGCAGTCAGCCTGAGAGAGGGAGAGAGACACACACACACACACACACACACACACACAGAAAAAGAGAGAGAGAGAGAGACAGAGAGAGACAGAGACAGAGAGACAGAGACAGACAGAGAGACAGAGAGACAGAGAGACAGAGAGAGACAGAGAGACAGAGAGAGGAAACAGAGAGGGAGCAGGAGCCCTGTGTGCTGCCCTTCTGTAACATTCTGTTCCCAGAGGGGGGAATTAAGGGCACAGAGGCAAATGCAGGGTAACCCGGGGCTTCAGGGGACTGGGGTCATACCTGCCTGAGAGCTGTTCAGCACCAGGAACTCTGCTGTGGCCGAGGATGCCAGTGTTCTGTCACTGTGGGATCAGAGGACACATGTGCTGTCACCAGGGTGGGGGGACAAGGAGAATTTTCTCTCGATTCTGAATTTTTCCTGGTCAAGACCACATATGATCGTTTTCCCTCTGACATTCTTAAATACTCGATAATTTCTAGGGTTTTATTTTTAGGGTTAATATGGCAAATAAAGTGTGTTTTATGTACACTATGCTTGGGGGAGCAGGATCCCCGGAATCGCCCAGGCCACGATGATGGGTGGGTGACAGGAGGTGCCCGATGAAGGGTCCTGGAGCTGAATGTTAAGCAGATGCCAATGCCAGGAAGTGACAGCAGCCTAGGACACAGCACAGGGGCCCTGTGTAGTGATGCTGCCCATTCACAGTGGCAGCCACCATCACGGTGTCACTCATACCTTAGTGCTAAGTTCCTGGGTGGGTGTTGTGGGAGTTAGCAAGATGCCAGAAGTGTTGTCTTTTATTTTCATTTCTTTATTTTTAATGCAACATTTTAATCACATCTTTCTTTCTGGTTGTTGTATGTGATATGTAATCATTGCATTCAGCTTGTGAATGCATGAGCATTTTCCTATAATATTAAATATTCTTTCCAACAACACTTTTGGGGCTGGAGGTGTGGGTCAGCAGTAGGGCACTAACCTGGCTATTCAAGGTCCTGAATATCATCCCCAGCACCACAAAAGTACAGCACAATGCAGCAAAGAATAACCTGAGAAACTCTGCCCATCAAAAACACATGGTTTCTAATTACCACAGCATCAAGATAGTCCACCGTCTGATGCTTTCCTGACAGATACTAGATTTGTGTCATGATAGCTGGAGTGATGGCCTGGGGATTTAGCTCAGTGGCATAAGCACCTGCCTGGCAAGCACAAGGTCATGAGTTCGATCCCCAGTGCCTAAAAAAGAAATAGAAACAATAGCTGGAGACGAGAGCCCCACCCCACACCTCACGTGTTGGGGGAGATCAGCTGGATGAGTGAAAAGAGGGGTGCCCCAGTGGTGACTGCTCTCTGGGGAGGGGTGGGACCTCTCTCTGTGGGTGTGAGAGGAGGTGGGAGAGAAGTGGACCCTGTCATGTCCTGAAGTCTGTCCCCCTCCCCACCTTACTGCTCACCCCCAAGTTACGTCATGCATGACATGATGCCTGGGATGAACTAACACCAGTATCTGGAAACCAAATTCTAATATATTTGTTTAAAACAAGAATTTTCAAATATATATCTTACTATCATTCACAAAGTTTCCTGTGGGTAACAAATTTGTGTGGCATAGTGAAAACATGATTTAGTCGCCAAACACTGGACTTGAAACATTTCTTTTCTGGAAAGACATCTGATGTGTAAAGGGTCTTGTCTGAGCCCCAGTGTACTCACTGTCCAGGGGGTTTGCAGCAGGTGGGCACTCAGAGGAAAAGAACAATACTGTGTGTCATGTCATCCTGCTTTGAGACAGCCTTGGGCATCTTCCTGTAGAGGCTGAGGAGGAGGACTGAGATAATGACTTTTGCATATAAACAAGTCCTCACACACAGAGTAGTGACCCTTCTTAACAGAGGAGAGCCTGAGGGCATGCCTCCTGGACCCTCTGTCTCCCATCTCTGGCCAAGGTCTCCTGATGACCCTCCTCCCACAGCCTGCTAGGAAACGGTGCCGGTGCTGATGCCGAGGAGCAGACTGCCACCCAGCCAGCAGATGGCTGGTCTCCTTCTCCCACTGGTGTTCCTGTGGATCAAAGGTGTCTTCGCTTCACGCTAATCTTTTTCTTTCGCTGCCAAGGTGGAGCTGGTCCAGATAGTCATCGACGGAGTCAACTACCTCGTGGACTGCGAGAAGAAGCTGGAGAAAGGACAAGACATCAAGGTGCCGCCGCCCCTCCCGCAGTTCAGCAGGAAGTGAAGAGTCCCTGTCCCCGTTTGTAACTAGTCTGCCTGCTGGTACGACAGACACGAAGCAGTCTCTACTCTGAGAGTTTCTGTAGACTCGGAAAAATGTAAAACTGCAGATCCTGCCTATCTTTACAATAAAACTCTCCTTAATAACTCGGGTCTCTTTCTCTGATTTTTACTCCTAAGGAGGGATCATGCATACATTTAAAAGTGGCAAGAGACAAGAATATTTCAGCACACAGTAAAACTGTTATTTGTAAGACTATTTATTTATACACGCACTGCGATGACCTTTTGACTACATGTTGGGTAGTCCATCCTTTACAAGTCCCTCGTGGACACTACTGGAAAATGAGGAATTAATGATGCAGTTTTCAGGGACCTAGAACGAGGACTATTTCCTGAAAATGTGGAAGCAAGGAAAGTGTAAACAAGTGAGGACAGGGTCCGTACTGCTGTGGCCAGTAGCCCTCACCCATGGGCCCTGGCAGACGCTCAGGCCAGCAGAGGCAGGGCAGGTGTTACAGGTGAAAGGTAGAAACCAGGTTCGCTCTGAGTGGTGATGCAGGCTTGGCAACAAGAATCCTCATGGGATGGGTTTGAGAAAAATATTCGGCTTTATGTGGGTGGGAAAAAATTAGGGAATCTCAGCCAGGTGTGGTGACAAGGCACACTGGGAAGCTGAGGCAGGAGAACTACAAGTTAGAAGCCAGCCTGGGCAACCTAAAAATTTAGATTCTGTGTCAAGTATATTAAAACTATAAAAAAGAAGCTAAGGATGTAAACTTAGCGTGAAGCCCAATACTATCAAAAATAAAGTAAAATGAGGGGACCCAGCATGACCGACCAAGTCCTGCCTATTTATCCCGCCGGTGGCTGTGGAGGCGTAGCTTGGCATCCTGGGCTGGCTGCATCAGATGCTGTGGGAGGGACGAGGTTGTCATGGACGATTTGGCCATGGTCCATTTGTGTACTCAGCTCCTCAAACGCAATTCACAGTTTGGTGTCCAAAGCACCAAGAATGTCGTTAGTGTAATTTGAAAGCTGACTTCTTCCCTCATCATGTGAACCCTTGTCTAGAATGCTGCTACTCTCTTTCATCCTCCGGTGACCTCTGCAACCCGAGAGGCCATGAAAGAGGTGGGAAAAATGTATGATGGAGGCAGTTACGAGGCTTCTCCATCTGCAAGGGGCAAATATTAGCTCGACTAACAGAAATGAGTCCTGCCCTCTATAGGAAGTGGGCACTGCAGGTGAACAGCTAAAGTATATTAGCGCTATGATACAAGTGAAGGGTTCCACCTGTGGGGGGGAGGTTGGCCAGGCTCAGGGTGGCATGTGCCTAACATGGCAATGGCCCTGGGGCCACAGCGCATGCCATAGACAACGACTTCCACGTTTTTCTTCCAAACGAGAAAGCAAACTCCACGTTTTGAGCGCTGCCCACATCCCTCCAATCAGCTGCCAATACGTCATTCTGCCCGCCCCCCTCAGGTTCTACCCCTTGTTGAACTGTATAAAAAGCCCACAGCTTTCTTGTCTGCCTGGAGGGGATTTTGCACTGTACTGCAGCCCTCCCTTGCCTGCAAGAAAGGCCTTCGCTTGCTTGCTTACTTGCTTGCTTTCTTTCCCTTTTCTGCTCTTGCCTCTCTACCATGCCAAGGAAAAACCTAACACTTGTCTTCTGTCCTGCTGATGAGAAGAGTATAACAGGAATGCAGTTGTGCTGGGAATATCAGGCCCTTCTCTAACTTTACAGTGACCAGTTGATATGTGCTAGATATTCACAAGAGGGAAGCACAGTTCAGGACATCATGCCACGGACCCCGGACCCAGCCGGTGAGGATGCGGGTGAGGATGGTATCCAACCAATGCCTAAAGACAGAAGAACAGTTGCGACCACAGGCAGTGACTGGCATTCTGTGTGTGCACGCGCGCATGCGCATGCGCACATGTATGTATGTGTATGTGTGTGTGTGAGAGAGAGAGAGAGAGAGAGAGAGAGAGAGAAGAACTGGTGTGGGGATGAGCACATCGACTCGACAGCCACACTGCTGTCCCAGTCCTCCCACTATGTGACACTGACAATGTTTGGAGTCCTCAGCTTCCTCTCTGTAAAATGCCAACAATTACACCTGTCTCATCTGGAAGGGTTTTGGAGAGGATAAAATGCACTAGGTTGTTTATGCACCAGCAAGGACCATTGTTATACTAAGATGCTAAAAATTAAAATAATTGATTAAAAGATAATTAACAAAAATAGTTACTTAAAAAGGTAGTTATTAGTAATATTGTTATTCTGTACTGAGCTCATTACCCTAGTAACCAAGCACCAACCACACAGTTATAAATTAACTGACCGCGTCGTTCTGCTGTTCTGTAATGCGTCATCCCCCCTACCTTAGTGACCTGTGTGTAATGTCAGCTTTTGTTCCCCTTGTAAGAGACAAATGATGCTATGTCAACCATTGTTCCATTTATGAGAGACAAATGTTCCCAGAATTGGCAGACTAAGGGCTATGAATTGGCTAACCACCCACTGTGAAATGCTTCTTACCTCAAGCAAAGGGGAACAAGGCCCACCTTATTTCTGTTTCTCATCACTATGTACTTAATGATCAATGAGCTAATCATAAATGAACTACAAAAATCAGTCAAAACTCTAACTCAGTTGCACAGCTTTGCAAATTCCATCTGCTCTGTGTCGCTGGGCCAGCTAAAATAAAAGCGCTTCTTTTAAAAAAGACGTCTTGCCCCGTTTGTCATCTTGGGGTCTTGCCCCGCTTTTCACCATGGGGTCTTGTTTTTTAAGTAAAGTACAACACCATGTATTTGCTGATTAAGAAAATCAGTAAGTCATTCTAATCTAGCTATGAGCATCCCTTATCATCATTTTTTAAGGCAAGACAACCGTCCCTCTTCTGAGAGGCTTTTGGAGCAACATGGTAAATGAAAACAAATCCTTAGGGCAGGAGACACACAAGCATAAATGAGCCAGAGATTAGACAGACACACAACCTGACATTTCATGTTTTTCAGAAGAAAGGCTAAAAGACAAACACTGGCATAAAGCATATGGCTGCAGATCTAAAAAGAAAATGAGAGTTGTAATCTATGCATCTCAAGCAACATCTTCAGCAAGAACTGACAGGGGATCTAAAGAACAGCGGATTCCAGACAGAGCTTTTTTTCTATTGCTTTTTTTTTTTTTTTTTTACCTAATTCATTACTCACCTTTAGCCACCAGTAAGCACGCTGGCATCTGCACTGAAGTGCTTGCAGATCTTGTAGCCCACAAACGAGGCCCCCAAGAGCCCCCAACTTGGTGTCTAAAAATAGGGCAAGACATGTTTTTAAGAAGCAGTGCTGATTTATTTTATCCTGGGCCCAGTGACACAGTGCAGTTGGAGTTTGCAAAAACCGTGTGTCTCCCTCAAAACTTTCCAGACTTTTTGTAGAAAGCACGGTTTACAAAGTAATGGGTTATGGGCGTGGATCAGGAAATGAAAGATCCTTGATCTGCTAAGGAATGAGGAAGACCTTTGTTTCCCTTTGCAGAGGACAGAGAAGTCTTGCAGTAATTAACAATCCTTTGTCAACTTATTTTAGCACTCAATTTTAGATAACATCTGTTGTTTGCAGAGGGCAGCAATGGTTAACAAATCAATTAGGTCAGATTCCCAGGGACTTACAGTTCTTTGCAGAGGAGAGCATTGATTAAAATATCAATTAGGTCACCCAGAAAAATGGCACATACAGAACAGTATGGCTACGTTACAGGTACTTTGGTCATATAACTTAGGCATAACACAAACATAACAAAGCTCTTTTTGCTAGTGTACAGCAGCAGACTATTAGGAATTAATTCTTTAGTCACATAACATTTGAAACTCATGAGCTGTGGGGCTGTTTTCCTGTGTCACTAGAAATATGCAAGCATTTCCTTTCCCCCAAAACCCTGCCAAGGGTTGCAGTTAGGTGGCCAGGTTTGCAGATGTGGTAGTAAGTTATAATTTTGCCACAACAAGTAAGTACATTGTCAGTATGGTAAAAGTAAAAGATCTTTTTTGTGAAAAGTGAGTCCTGTTGAGAGAGAGAAAGGAACTCCTAAAGATTAAAACTGTGAGGAATGCTGAATCCTCCACCCAAGGCAATCCCAGCATGCAAATAGGTCTTGCTAATGAAGGTCTCGTCCTCTCAATATTTCTGGAGTTGAAGTAATGACACAAATAGAACAGGCTCCAGGCCACACACCTTTCACATTTGCTGTGTCCTTGGGCGTGGGGGCAGAGAGCAGCTGGAGTGGGCCCATGGCTGGTAAATCTTGGGTCTCTCCCACAGGGAGTGGGCTTCTTGATTTCCAGGTTACAAGCATCTGCATATGGGCCAAGGCTCTTCTTCTCCCTCAACCAAACATCAAAAATGGCCCCACATTTAACCAAGAGGTGGTTCTAGGGGTGAACCTACAAGGTCAGTTGAAGCTCACCAGGATGAGAACAAAGAATTTATTTGAGCCATTATAAAGCTAGACAGGAATTCTAGGCACCTGGATTTGTGGTCCTTTAGATGGCATCCAAGAGATCTGGATTTTCATAGGATAAAAAAACTCCCAAAAGACAAAAAGGAAGTTATAACAAACTGGTGGTACTGCTGCCCTGATGGACAAGAACGGCACAGGACGATGACTGGTTACTCATGGAATTTGACACAAAGAAAGGGTTTGACCATGGCCATCTGGTATCTTTAGGACATCAGGGAACTGCACCAGGTCAGGGTTCCTGAGGTGACTGCAGCCATGCCTCAGGGTTCTTTGACCTAAAGCATCTTGTGATTTTATTTCAATGTGTGTGTGTGTGTGTGTGTGTGTGTGTGACATTTTACATCCTTTCTCAAAGTTCCAAAGATTTGCATTAAATTGAGGGTCAGCCCCTAACCAGCCACAGGATCAGAGGCAAATTATTTAACTTACTCTTGGATTTATTATGAAAAGAGATACAGGTATATGGGTGTGCAAGAGAATGTATATAAATACAAATAAAAGTCTTATGTGACAGTACTTACCTGTCTACTAGAGATGTGCTTCAATAGTTTTCTAGTTAGTTATACAAAGAAGCAAGAAGGACCAACCAAGGAGTCTGCTAGGTAGTTAAAAG